TTTACCCTCTGTCCTTAATATCATCCCTCTTTTAACGGCCCAAACAACCAGCGGTGAAGTTCCGTTGGGTTTGGTGACGGGGTGTCAACGTTTCACGGCTGTTGATAGACCAAGCGTTTGGTTTTCAACAAGTTAGCATCTGGCCATCAAGTCCTCCTAATTTTCCATAAACTTGCGTGATCAAGATAAATAAATAATCTGCCTACCCTGCGGCATTCTGCTGCTCCTAGCCCTTGCCAAATTGTTACTTTCTACACTCATGTATTTTCCCACCCACCTTTGACGGCGAGCCTTGAACCAAAATGCACGAATCAAACAAGAATAGTCTGTACCCGTTGCTTCAATGGTTGTTTTGTGCTAATGTTGGCAGACTGTGATTTGGATCTCGACCTCCACGCCATCTGGCATGACTGCTCTGGCATACCGACACCACCTCCCTGTCTCGCAACCGATTCCGATAATCCTCGGCAGATTCTTTCGTCCTCCTTGATCGAATGCCTTTTCCACCCCACTTATGAAAAGCTGTCAGCCTTCAAGTGGACTGGTCCAGACCCTCTGTCCATGTCTACTCAGGCTAGCGACTTGTTCCTCTACATGTCAGCTTTCACTTTTCCTAACAAAGTGCACTGGGTAGAGTTCCGACTAGTCCGCTTTGACCGGACATCTGGCGAGAGTCCAGGAGAGCATCTGTTCTTCCTACCCCGAGTTGAGACGGCCACGTGGAATCTCCGTCGGGTACGCGAACAGCTGCTAGATACGATCTCTCGGCATGGTATTGGTACAATAGGCACTAGATTTTGTGTGTCCCTTTGGCCTCGCATGGAACCCCTACCACACCCCACTCACTTGGCACTTCCTTCGCTAGTTGCGCTACCCATGAAGATATCCCTTGATCCAATATTTTTTGTGCATAGCATACTGGGTAACTACAAGTGAGATTGGTCCATAAATTGCGTTGTTACTCAACATTTTCCAGCGAGCATAAATTTAATGGGAGGCTATTCCATGCATTACATCTTGGAAATACTTCGAAATAGAAGATGCTTTCCGCGCAGTAGTTTCCCTTGATTCGCAAAGTCAACTGTATTATCTCCATGCTGGCAAAATAGGCACATCGCCTCAAACAGACTATCCTTCACCCTTCTCTTGCGTTGTTCAAGGACACTGTTAGATTGAGTCCGGAGGGGTGATTCCAGTCATCGAGTACGCTAACCAGTCGTTCCCAGGATACTTCCAATGCCTGCTCAAAAAAGCGCAGCCGGGATAGCTGTTTGTCATGGCGAACCTGAAGACTGTCCCTCTCTTTTCTCAGGTTCGCACCAGCTTCCTTCAAAACAAGGTTGTCCTGCTCTAGCTTCTGGCCATCGATGTGCTTGGACACGCACGACTCCCATAGGCGTCGATAGAGTCCAACAAGTCGAGCTGCTGGAAAGGCGAACTTGGGATCGTCGCGCTCGAGGTCTGCTAGCACCTTCAAGATCGGTTGAAGTGGCTCGGTCGCCAGAATATGTCTTGTTTCAGCTTCCTGTTGCAAAGGCGAGGGCTGTAATGATCAGCAAAAGCGTTTGAAGCCGAATCGTTTCACTTACCAATGGGACATAGTCAGAACTTTCCTGTGATTTGTCTTCCTCACCAAGGATGGGCAATTCCCTGGGCGGCTGATCTCCTTCTTTTTCCTGGTGTGGCGCGCTGTTCAGGGTATCCATTTTGTCCGCAGGAGAAAGTCAATGGTCTGGTTGATACAATTTCCATCGATCTTCAGTGCCTCTTATAGGCTGCGCAGATGTATGTGTTTACGGGCTGGGTTTTACAATCACCACAACGGTCCTTCGAAGCAGTCAAATTCTGACTGTAGTTGCTTTACTTTTCAGCCGGCTGCTGACAGTATATTCAACAATAGGGATAGTGACCAACGAGTCGGTCGGGGAAAGTAGTCAAGCCTCACGGTGTTGAGGGCCAGAGATCAACGCTTGTTGAGGATATATATATTTCGATCAGCCACCTCTTTCCATTTCGTTGAACGCCTCAGAATTCCGACAAATGGAACATTGTAGAACTTGTAGTCATCAAAAAAGGAAGTTCAAAAAAAAAAAAAAAAAAAAAAAAAGGTGAATCTTCATGGTCGCAAGTTCGGAAATTGAGTGTGGCCAAGCTTCAACGGGTTGACGAGTCGAGCACGACCTCGCTTTCTGCAGTCTAGACGGATAGACCCATAGCTCTACACAACCAACACCACACTAAAGCGAGGTTAAAAAAAATCCCATACTTCTCGGGATGAAATTGTAGGCGCTTTTCGGTGATTCAGCGTTGAGTCACTCACAGTTGAGGTATCAGAACAAGAAATATGAGCATGCCATTGCGGATGGAATAGCACCCAGTGCCTCAATTTTATGAGCCGTGAAGGATTCGGCAGTGAGCCAACGTTTCTTGACCGACTCAACATTCCTTTTCCCAATACCCCCTTTGATTGTCTCTCTCGCTGAGCATCTAAAGCATTAAAAATGTCGCTGCAAATAGTTGCGGTAGAAAGAAGACGTGGGTTTTAACAGCCCTCAATTACGGGAGGCATCCCCAACGCTTTCTACCAAGCAGCGCACTTGCGCGAAAAAACGAGCGGAGAAGTCTATAAATACGTCGTGTGCCCCCGGCAATCCGCTCTACAATTTATTCACCTGACCGCAAAGTCGAGCAGGCTTGTGTCTGAGTCACTTGATAAGTTCTCCACCTTTGACCCAGTACTGAATTCCACTGTACTGGCATCCATAGAATACTTCGTGGACCAGCAAGGTAGACAGTGCCTGTGAGAGTATCTCCCACCAGATGCACTGCCATTCACGCCAGCCGATCAAAGATACGAGTTTTGGGTTAGATGGTCAAAGTGTCTATGCAAAGATGTCTCCGCTATAGCAGCCGACTGAACTGATCTACTGTACAGCCCCTGTGTGCATTTCCAAGAGAAAGCGCGAATATCCTGGTTGCAGGTATGTGAATCTCAGCCTGACTGTCTGGAATTCTACTGATCTTGAAGATGATGCGATTCCAATAGAACCGAGGTCATCCGACCACAATGCACGAGCAAGGGCCACAGCTCTTTGCCGTCTCTTCGTCCCTAGTCTTGGCCACCAGGAAATGTGAGTCATGGATCATCTCGCCGATTTACAAGCTAATGAATGACAGTGAACCATTGACATCGCACCAGGGCCCGAAGGATACAGCATCCCTGTTAGTGCTCTACACAAAGCCATGGCTTAATACTATTCCCAGCCCCGTCGCTTCAAACTATGCAACCTACCCTAGGTGAAGAGTATAAACCAGAGGAGCGGGCCAATAACAGGTTTGGAAATCCGATTGTGAGCTTCGATGCATAAAAGGTTGAGACGTCCATTCTTCCTGGTAATGTGAGTGATTTATCGCGCCTTCCGCTGCGCTATTTCCATTTGGTTGTGCAAACTTTTGTGCTCCAAAACACGAATACCATTACTGATTTTCATGCCATTGTACATAGGAGCAGCCCATTGCCACTGTGAAACATCCTTGTTGGGAGTCCTATTGCCGGATCGCAGATAAGGCCAAGGTGGCACTACGACGCGTGCTCCATCGCGTGTAGGGAGGCAATGTGTCTGTATATTTGCAATGGTTTCTATGTACAGAGGGAAGGTGGGAGGGACAAAACGAGTTTTGACTGCGTGGGAGATGACGAGCTACCAGCAGAGGCGAGCAATTGACTCCCGTGAGGCAGTTGCATGAGGGAAGAAACCCCTCCGTAGGCCGGTGGGCTCTGTGCGGGCATCACGTGAGGCAATAAAACTCCTCCCATTAATCAGCAGGGTTATGAAGACGCCCGCCGCGCACGCTATGGCCCTGAAACGAAAGGGGTTGGAAAGTGAGATTGTAAGCTATTGGAATTCATGACGGATGGCGGAAGCTTAGCGGGTGACGTACACGCACGTAACACAATGATGAGCATCACAACTTTCTGTTATGGTTTTGCGACCACAAAAGAGGAGACGAAAAAAAACGATGGAGGTTGCGCTTTATCCGAGGAAAACATCTCACCAAAATGGAGCTGTAACTAGTCCTTTTAATATCATTGTTAATGTCGGCCCTGTCTTTTAAGAAATCTTTGTTTTGTATACATGTGTTCGCTTTGACCATAACTTGGGGTACGAAGATTTCCTTTCTTGCGCGCTTCTCCGCGGTTAGCATGATCCCGCGGAGATGTGGAGTTTGGGTGGCTTAGCTCCGGGCCCTGAGCTCACGCGGTTGAAACTTTCCAATCGTAACTTACAGCTTGAGGAGATATTTGTGGGACTATCGTTAACAAACTGGTGTGGGGTTGGATACATGAAGTATAATGATGTTGAGATACTTATTTCAAATAGTACGGTTGTTTAATGTAATGTACGGAAATGCTCAGTAGTAACGTTACTGCGAGGAGTTTCCATCTTTTTGACACAGTTAGCAAAAGGTATCTAGTTACTTTGGATTTACTTTGTGTTGAACTTGTTTTCCACATTTTAGGTACATAGAAAAGCCGGGTGGTACTTCGGTTACAATCTGAAATGAGGAATGTCAAGTGGGCTAACGAGGTCGGTGCGTTTTCCCCAAGTCCGTTGAGTCAGACACGGCTTGCTTGTACCTTATTTGTATGTTACCATGCGGTCGTGATTTTCTTTGTGCGACAGACGTTCGCGGGCTTTGCCTTGACCATTGCGCATGAAATTGTCTCTGCCCACTCCATATAGATGAACCTCCAAAAATTGCCGAGCGAAGTACTCTTGTTGATTGGCAAGCAGTCGGAGACGGAGAGCGACATTTTTGCTCTCATGAGGACTCATACTAGATTTTACCAAATCTTCCTCCCTCTTCTATACAAGTATAATGTTGATTATTCTTCGAGCTCAGCTTTGCTGTGGTGTATCAAACATTGCAACGAAATAGGAGCGAGCTTATTGCTTGAATGGAATGCGAGACACACACGTGCTCACCTTCCGCATACAATGGATGATTATGGTGGTCCTTTACACCTAGTCACTGATCACAATATTGCAAAGCTTCTGCTCGACCATGGAGCTGACGTGAATGATCTATCCGATCTTGGGGAAACGCCATTTCACGTTGCTGCACGCAACGGTCGACTTGACGTGGCAAAGCTGCTGCTTGATCATGGAGCTCACATCAATGCACACGGATACGAGATAATAGATACTTTCGATGTTCGTGCGACGCCTCTACGTTATGCACTCGAAGCCCTAGGGAATCATTTTCTTATGGCAAAGCTGCTCCTTGATCGAGGCGCAGATCACAATTTGGCAGATTCAGAGGAGGGAACTGCTTTACATGTAGCTGCCCGGCTGGGTTGTGAAAAGTCGACGAAGCTTCTTCTTGACCATGGTGCTCCTCTTGATGTTCAAGACGATACTGGGTGGACGGCTCTGCACATCGCTTCATACTTGGGGCATTCCGCAGTAGCGAAGGTTCTTGTTAACTGCGGAGCGTATTTGAACATACTGGATAGGCAGGGAAACTCGCCAACGGACCTTGCGGTAAGAAATGGCTATTTCCAGACAATGATGCTGGTGCTTGCCCGTTACGAAGCAAATTGATCATGCCGACCGAATCTATCTTGATATTTCAGACAATTCTCTTCATTCCTACGTCAAACAATGCTTGGAAGCGCCACTGGAGTTTTCATTTGCTCCAATGCCGTGTTATTTAGGATCCCCGGACTGCGCAACTGGTGAATTATCTGGAAATTCTTCGACGGCTTGCTCTGAAAAATACTAGATGCTAAGCCTGGGACCTTTCCTGATATGTGCATTCTCTGTTTGAAGACACTGGACTTGGTTCCTTCTACAGTCAACTTCCATGTGGCCATACCTTCCACCTACCATGTATGACCACTGGCTTCGCCACGAGGTGAGCTGTCCACTTTGTCGTCGCAAATTTTATTACTTGAGACAACTTGAGTCGTGGATAATTTTGCAAAGAGACCTGTCTCCGAGGTTCAAGATGATCAGGCGAAAACGGTTTTCATAACCATTAAAGTATGGTTCAAGAAAGTCAACAGAGAATCAATGTCACCGTCTGATATTACATAGATTAAATCAACTCCTGGGGTAGCTGACATTGTCTGAAAACCAAAAAAATTTCGTCTACCTTCTCACTATCCTGTTTCGGTGGATAGCTGTAATTGGGTTTCCTAGTAGTGTGTTGGCGGTATCCTCGCTCTTCCCGCATTACCCTTTGGTTGGTGAATTTTCCAGATTCAAGTATTTCCGCAGTGGAAGTTGGGATATGGAGATTATAAACAGCTAAGAGAGCCTCGTACTCGATTTCCAGTCTGCTTCGTATGGGAGAAAGTGGCTTTCATACACTTGCCGGCGATATCATCCATGGTTTCCACTTAGACCGACGTTGTCTCTTTCAATTCGCACAATGAAACAACAGCCCTCGCGGTTGGATCATGCAAACTTTTGATCATTGTCCGAACCAAGCGTCCGTCAGCACCAGGCATGACCTCATGGTCTGTGAACACGGGCTCACTACTCTGTTGCAAGGTACCATTTTTGTTGAAGACCACGCACGCTAGTTGACTGGCTTCTTGGCATGCTTCACCTCCGCCTTTGACAAGAATCCCGTTTCGAACGTACCAAGAGACTTTCTTTACGATAATCTCCAATGAAACCGAGCGAATTACCGACGCTATCCCCTCAAAACTATACTGGAAAACCAACAGTGCCTCCAAGCAGCATGGCCATCCCACAATGCGATGACGCCATTATGACGCGTTGGTGCCTAAGTTGCGAATAATTTGTGTGGCGAATAACTAACACACGCCGTATAAATTTAATCAGGCCGATATGCTTCGGTCAATTATTATCCATCCCACAATATATTGCATATTCGTCATGATGAGCAGTTTTGAAAAAATTAAGAATGCCGCGACTAGCCGCCTTTGTCCCTCTAATATTATCTCTTCGGAAGACAAAAAGCATATCTCGAAAGCTTTTACCAACCCTTCTACCTCCGACTATTTTACTAACCCTTCAAACACCGATTACTCTGCCACCAACACGGGCTCTGCAAACACTACCAATATGGAACATGAAGGCCGCGACCCCAATCAGCCGACAACCCGACCCACTGTATCATCTTCATAGTCAGTATAAATCTTATCTTGGATAACTGCCTGCTGTATCCTGCAACTAATACAAACTTTGGACTAGACTCAAGACCAATGATATCCCCTGACTGGTGCTCGAATATCCTCCCTTATCTCGACTATGAAATGGTTAGGAGCGTAGTATACTGCGAGGTGGGATGAAGAAGTGGCCCCCACGTCTGGCGATTGTCTAAACGAGAGAATGCACTCTAGGCAGAGTTGGATTGTCTACCTCTTCTTATAATATAGTCATTGCAGAACTCTTCTTGTCCCTCCTCAGGCGTCCGTTACTGGTTGCCCATTATTCTGCAATCAAGTGACATATCCATCTCGGTATGAGAATGCCGATTCCGCACTAGGTGGTTATTCGGTAGTGCTGCGTGGGTTCACGTGAACAGGGTTTTAGACATTCAAGAAGACCTAAGCAAAGTTATCAGTCGGCGTTTCCTACAAAAAGAAATCCCCCCAAAAAGAAAGAAACACCCAGCTCCCGTGAAAGAAAACAAAGCTCAAATCACCGTAGATACCTTGCCCATGGGCTGCATCCGGGACCCATGACGTATACCTAGTCCTCAACATACCGGTGCGTTGTGTCACATATCTCCGCGGGATTTCTTTGCGGTCAGAAGCAAGAAAGAGGTGATTCTTCAATTCATCCATAATTACACTGAGTACCTGTATGCTTGTTTGAAACCGCTACCGCATCTGTTTTGCGTTCTCAAGAATCTCGAAATTAATTGCTGCAACTACGTTGCTTCTGGTTCCGCTATCCGCAACACCGACGTGCAAGCCTGAGTTATGTTGGCTCCTCCATGGACGGACAACATGCAGAATGAGCCAAATTGGGTCAAGACTCATAACCACCGCATCGGATATCGCTATCGCGATGATCGGCATCCGGGGTATACACATATTGGGAATTACTGTAATGCCGAGCAGCAGCGGGAGTACTTAGCTCAGGCCAATAAAGAAGCCAAGAAACTTGATAAAGAGCTGGAAAAATTCAATCTGATCCATGTCGTCAACTCATGGATAGTGTCCTGAATTTGAGCATTTGTATCGCGTGCTCCTATAGAATTCGGCTATTTGAATTAAATATATCCTCATTGTTCTACGACTGTGATCCGGTGCTTGGTTGTAGAGTGATGTAGATAGAGAACAAAGATAGATGGACGGGAGGTGGTCGCGGAAATGTGGTGGACGGGAATCTGGAGGGGTATGAGTGATGTTGGTGGGCAGTGTTGACGGGGATTCTTGACGGGAAATGTCAATGTGGTGAGTGTTGAAAGCCAGTGTTGAGGGCCAGTGTTGAAGGGGAACGTTGATGGATTGAATGGCCGCGCGGTGAAGTCAACGTCCGGCGACGTAGCGGAGATATTTTTTCCTGCCACTTCACCCTGATAGAACTCATTGACATGCACTGATTAGCGGGTCGTTGCTTAATAATTTTCACTTGCCTCGACAAGAAGTTCCAAATTGATAAGAAAAAAGTCGAATTCGAACAACAACAGAGTCCCCCTCGCATGGTCCAACTATATTAGACATTGCATGGTAGGTAGATTGGAGAGCTACCTAGTGTAGGAGGAACATAGTGGAAAGACGATGCTACGATAAACCTCGGTGGAAGCAGAAACTTGTTCTCTTGCATAACCAAGGCCACCGCTAAAGGCGGTGACGGTGATTTACTCGGCGAGATCGAACGCGCTGTGTGTTGGAGCACCTGAATAGTCCTGCACGTATGTCCGTTTGACAGTATCTATGACACGGGGCGCCCCCCCTTTCTGTCTAACACCGTGGGATTCCCACGTAAAAGTGGTGAACATTCTTCACGGTCTGCCAGTGCAACGCCCTTGAACATCCATTCCAGTGGCGTTGTGTTGACGAAATCATGGCTTGTCTACGGTAACCCATTGTTCAGGCTTTCTCAACTGTGGTATACCCCTCCAGATCAAGAATGAACTTCACACTCACTTACCAGTACCAAGTTGCCGACTCATCGCCGGATATTGAGTTTAGTGGCGCTGCTTGAGTTCACAAGAACAGGTTATGTAGACGTTCAAAGCGACGTCAGTTAATGCCGAAGAGTAAGATAAGTAAAAGATAGTGGGGAGTGAGTTCAGTCCGTGGGGAATTGGATAATTAAGGTTTGTTTGACGCGGGAATCATGACGTATGTTATCTGACCATTCCTGGCGGCCTTTGTCGTACATCTCCGTGGGTTTCATCACGGCCCGACGCAAGGAAGTGTAATCTTTCGTTTGATCCGTAATAGTCCCCCGTATATAGATACCTGCTTGTCCCTGCACACGCCTGTGGTGCACTCTCAAGGATTAGATAGTACCTGCAGCAAGTCGGTTTTTCAGGGTTTCACAATGGCAGAAAAACCGCACTACACGCGTCACAACTGGAGTCATGGTGGCTCCTCGAAAGACGACATCCAAGATGAACCAGATTGGGTCAAGACCCATAACCATCGAATCGGATTTCGCGACAGCAATGATCGGCATCCGGGCTTCACACACATTGGAGATGACTGGAATACGGAGCAGGGCCAGGGCTTCTTAGCCCAGGCGAAGAACGAAGCGGATGAGCTTCATAAGGAGCTGGAGGACAACGATCTGACTAATGTCCGCGAGTTCATGACCAAGGAAGAAGTGTGTACTGGAGTGTCTTTATTTCTGTGTCATTAGGCCTGTCGTTGACTGATATTCCACCTCCAGGACTATCACTTGAGGTTCCCTCAGAATCACCCCCGGGGCTGGCGCTACATGCTTCGCACCACGGAAGACTTCATCAAGTACAAGCAGGACTGGCCTATCAACGTGAAGAGACGTCAGCAGGAGGGAGAAGATAAGAAGAGAAAACAGAAGCCAGAGGAAGATGACGACCAGAAGCCAAAGAACGAACATGAGTGGCGCCGGGGTCGCGGAGAGAATGAGACACATAACGAGGCACATGCCATCGGTCGGAAAAATCCTGATAAAGACGGCCAAGGAGGAAAGAATGATGCGAAAGGCGATCAACAGGGCAAGTACTCGCCACAGGAGCTATCTTTGTTGCGCCTGCTACAAATCGAGAACAAGTACATGAAGACACTGAAAGAAAACGATGGCAAGGTCATGTCGCCAGTCGATCTAGCGGAAGAGCAGAACATGTCCATTGACGAGGCCGATCAATTTACTCCCGACAATTGGATCGCCCGATCTTCCCACCTCATCCGTCTAACGGGCAAGCATCCGCTCAATAGCGAGCCTGAACTGACAGCCCTCTACGGGGCAGGCCTCATCACTCCAAATTTACTGCATTACGTTCGCAACCATGGCCCTGTGCCCCATTTGCTGTGGGAAACCCACACGGTTGATGTCGAAAACGGCAAACTGGTCTTATCGATGGATGACGTTAAACACGGGTTTGAGACTATCAACATTGCAGTGGCTTTGGCCTGCGACGGCAACCGGCGGAAAGAACTGAACATGATCCGGCGGTCGAAAGGATTCAATTGGGGCGCTGGAGCCATTAGCTGCGCTTACTGGAAAGGGCCTCTCCTACGGGACGTGCTTCATGCCGCTGGCGTTGAAGGCTTCGATAATGGTCGTCGTTGGGTCCATTTCGAAGGCGCAGATGAGCTCAGCGAAGGCAAGTATGCGACTTCAATTCCATTGGCATATGCCATGGACACCGAGAACGACGTGATCTTGGCTTATGAAATGAACAACGTTCCATTGCCACCAGATCACGGTTATCCAGTGCGGTTGATGATCCCCGGTTACGTTGGTGGTCGTTGTGTCAAATGGCTCCACAGAGTCTGGGTATCCCAGAAGGAAAATGATAGCCATTATCATATTTGGGACAATCGGGTTCTGCCTAGCTTCATACGGGAGATGGACTCGGAGTTCTCTCACACTATGTTCAATCACCCGAGTACGGCTTGCAACGAGCAGAATCTCAATTCGATCATTGTGAAGCCTGAGCATGGCGAGAGGATTCGCTTGTCAGATGTGGATAAAAATGAGACTTACCGGGTTGCTGGCATAGCATACGACGGTGGCGGTCATGAAGTCCAGAGGGTGGAAGTCAGTTTGGATGGAGGGGGAACCTGGTTGTACTGTATCCGCAAGGTGAGTCCATCCGTTTGTCAGCGCTAGCACCTTACCGAGCCTCTAATCTGTCGTGATTAGTTCCCTGAATACCCGATACGTCATGGAAAGAAGTTTTGGACTTGGCTTCATTGGTATGTGGACGTCGGACTGTCGCATCTTGTTCGAGCAGAGAGCATCGTCGTCCGTAGCTTCAATGTCTTTAAGAATACACAGCCGAAAACACCTTCATGGAATATTATGGGGTAAGTCCACAACGCTTGAACGCCCTCAGAATATTAGCTGATCATATGTAGTATGATGAACAATTCCTGGTATACTGTTCGCCCAGAGATCCAGGATGATAATGAAAGTGGCGCCTCTGCGCTTTACTTCCGACATCCCTGCGAGCCTGGCACGGGAACGGGAGGTTGGATGAGCCCGTCGTCGGAGAACCGCATCGAGAACATCAAGCATGAAGCGGCATCACCACAAAAGCAGTTCACTCGTGAGGAGATCGAAAAGCACAACAATGGAAGTGATTGCTGGATTGTCATCAATGGCAAAGTTTACGATGCGACGAGCGTGCTTGAATGGCATCCTGGCGGCAAGGCACCAATCATGGCACATGCGGGTAGGGCCCATGCCGACACCACAGCGGAATTTGAGAGCATCCATGACGACTACGCGGAGCAAAAATTGAGCGGTATTATATAACATTTTCACGCACGTATCTTTCTCAGACAATTACTGACTGATTGGACATAGAATGCGTTCTCGGAGTCGTCACCGATAAAACGATGGGGTATATCAAGAAGCAGGCTGAAGATGCGGCCATAGAGAGGGCCAACTCCTCAAAGAGGAGCTCGGAAACGGTTTTCAACCGTCATCGGTGGAATGTTGTCTGCTTCAAAGAAAAGAAGCAGCTTTCGGAGGACACTCGTCGATACACATTCTCGCTACCACCGGCTACCAAGAAGCTCGGCCTCGGCACCTGCCAGCATCTTCAACTGGGCTTTCATTTCAGCGATCGTCTTGTGGTCCGGCCATACACTCCCACACGACCTGTCTTCGAAAGAGAGGAAGACGGCACATTCGACCTCATCGTGAAGACATATGCGCCGGATCAATCCCAGCCAGGCGGAACAATGAGCAATATCCTCGACTGCCTGCGTCATCGCGAGGAAATCGAGGTTAAAGGACCTATTGGCGAGATTAAATATATCGGCCAAGGCAGGTTCATGATCGATGAGAAAGAATACCACTTCCTCAATGTCAGTCTTGTCCTGGGTGGGTCCGGTATCACCCCCGGATACCAGCTTATCTCTCGAATATTGCGTGCCAAAGATCAAGGCGAGGGGGAGGACAAGACCAATATCAATGTTATCGACGCGAACAAGACTGAAGGTGACATATTGTTGAAGGACGAATTGGATAAATTTGCAAAGGACAACCCTGATCAATTCAATATTACGCATGTTCTTTCACACCCGGATGATAGTTGGAGTGGAGAAAAAGGCCATGTGTCGAGGGAGATTCTACAAAAGTATGCTTTTGGACCTGAGAAAGGGAATGTGGCGCTGCTTTGTGGTCCTCCAACTATGATTCAGAAGGCAGTGCTTCCGGCGCTTCTGGGAATTGGGTACAAGGAGGATGATAATTTGTTTGGGTTTTAATTTCTTTGACTTAGTGGAATAAAATTCACGCATAGCACAATGGGTATCACATCGGTTACAATTGCTAGAATTGGGATGTCGGAAATCAGGGCCTCTGGTCCATATAGATGCCTCAGGAATATATCAATACATTTGATAATGGACTCAAGTCTAGTTGTCAGGCAGTCACACCCATGCCTGGCAGGGCTATACGTACTCATGGGCCAGAACTGGCATTTCCACGGCGCCGCGCAGATAGTCCCTAGTTTACCACATGATCTATCCCTTGCGTTGGATCTTTCAGTTCTAGTGGCTTTTAAGCAGTTCCTGCCATGGATTTCAGGAGCATTGCTCAACCAGCCTTATCATCACGTACAAATTGAAGACGAAATGAATCGCCGAACTGTGCGATAGCCCAAATGCATGTCTCCAAGAAGCGTTATAAAACTTTTGGCGTCTCCTGCCAGATGAGCTAAAACAAGATTACCAGATCAACAGCGCAAATCAACCAGAAGTTGCGAGTATTATTGAGTTTGTTGCGCAAGTGGATGCTCAGAGTAGCAACACAAGGAGATGTGTCTCACCACGCCTATGCACCTTTCTGGAGTCTACTCGACAGTTCAGCGGAGTGGTGGATACATTCGTCAACTCCAATCCAGAAATTGCCGCCTTTTTATGGGGGACAGCAAAAATCGCTATCCTAGTAGCAGCGAATGATGCATCCTTTTTCGAAAGATCACCAGTCTCATTATGGCCGTCGGAAAGTTTGTCCAACTTAACAAGGATTTGGTCAACTTCACCGTCGGTGTTTGGGTCTCCAACGCACCCTATCTGAGTTCTACGCTGTGATCATTCGTCTTTGCACCAAAATCGTTGAAGTATCTTGCCGGAATGCCATTGAGCAGGCACTGTCTTCTGTGCTGATCCCATCCGAATCCGAGTTCAAACCGTACCCCGATCAGCTCGATGAAGCTACAAAGCAAATCCATTTATAAATTTCTATCGCTTCTGCAAAAGCAGATCATGAAATTCGAGAGCCACTGAAGCATGGCCGGCGAGAGGACGCACTTTTTCGACCCCTTGCGATGAGTATTCTCAAAGAAGACCCCTGAAAGAACACAAAAAAGCATCTCAATGGTGCGCCCGTCAGCAAGCAAGCGAAGCCGACAGACTGAGGTCCGAGATCAGGAATAACTTATCCGGAATTGAGCACGTTGCCCATTGGAGGCGCTCTATCCTGCCGCGCGCTCCCGGTACAGCGGAATGGCTACATCATGAACGGGGCTTTCTACAACGGGGAATATGTCAGCGTTCTGCTGTCCTTTGGTGCTCTGGAAAATGGGCATGGGAAAGAGCGTGCTTATGTCATATGTGGCTGCTCTATTACACTCCGCACGTGAGAGGAGAGATCTGACGTTGTTATTTATCATTTTTGCCGAGCTGACAGTGAAATTTCATTGTCAGCGAAGAGCATTATAGGCAGTTTTGCTTGTCAAGTCTTTGACAGCCTGATTGGACTTTGATCCCACAGCTTCACCAACTTCGCCATAGTCTGGAGGTTGCCGCGGATACGCTCCATCCAGACTTGCGGAAGCTGCTCGCTATCGTCGGCCAAGAGTCATCTACTCAGTACCTCGGCCATCCCCACGAATGGGTCACAACAAGCGGTCAGTCGGCTCGTCGGCTCACCTCAACGTACGATCATCAGCCCGGACGCTTAAATTATCAGTTCATCGACGAATATGTTATTGACCAGATCGTATTTGGTATGGACGATCCACGGCGGATGCCACAGGCTGACCCGCATTCCTGTCCGATCTGCCAACAGCAACAGTTCAACGTTGTGCACTGGAACCGCTGTAATTGCTTCCCGGCTTTATTTGGGTGCCCTAAGAATCCGTTGCCGCTCAGATTTGCGACGTCAGTAAAGGATAAAAAAATGGTGTTGTGGCTCGTTGTGTTTGTCGCCTCCAACCCCACGTCACATACCGTGTTCGCTAACAATGTTACCAGAAATTCGAGCGAGGCACGGCAGATGGTGAATTCGTCGGCTTCGTGACGAGTATTGTGAAAGAACGGCATGTTATGATGGGTGATACTAAAAATCCAGGGTATCAAAATTTTCAAGGAGAGATGGGTCAGTTTCGCTTGCTAGGGTGCGGTATGTAGCTAACATTGGTCCTATGACAGGCAACTTTACGCGATCCATCAATCATTCCTGCCATCCGAACAGCCAATTTCAGAAATTCTTCTGGCAAGGCATCGGGGCATTGTTGTCGTTTCACGGGTTATTTCATTAGGCAGTGAGATAACCGTGGACTATTCCAACCACTACTGGAAAGGGCTGGACAAACCTTGTCTTTGCAAAGAGGCTTTCTGCCGGTTCCCACCAGTTTTGACGACGGACAGCCAATTAAACAATAACGATGGATAAGTCTGAGAGCCCAAAGGCCATTTATAGTAAAATTTACGAGGGGTCACTACCACCGGACGGATTGTTCAGATTTTCATATGTCCCGTTCTTTATACGTGTTGAATAAATAATTAAAGCCATGAAATACGGGTGGGGTGGATACTCACGTTCTAATCATAATTGTTCATATTACGCGTTCAGTACGTGATCGGAGATGATGCAAGTGATTTCAAGGGCTAGCATAACACTAATAAAGCATCGGCAAGAAAAGTCTAGGGGGGATTTTGGAAGATTGATTTTATGGGATGTCACCCACGCACACATACGTATAGTTTGTTGTGTGCGGCTTGCTAAATTTGTCAGTGTGTAATATTGCAAGGGGAACGGATAAAGGTTGAATGAAGCAGTCGGGAGTTCCTAATGATTCAAGCGTTCCTGGCACCCAAAGGCATATTATATGGGTCTTTACATAACTGTGAAAAGTGCGAGGGGCTGGTTCCTTCCATCAACCTTCACGTTGAAGATTAATTACATCTGTGGGATATTTCGACAACAGGTGACACGGCAAGCCTTTGCCAAATTGAGGCTCAGATTCACGGAGGCTTCTCACTTCGAAACACCCGGCTTGGCGTCTGTATTGCCAAATTCGCCTCTGCGTTCCGCCTCAACAATATCCGAATCTTGCCGTGGGTCCAGTTTGTTTAAGACTTTACTCGCATGCGGCTTTGGTTTCTCAGGTGCGGTAGCAGAAGCTCCGGGGCCTTGGATTCCAGGTTCTTGAGAAGATTTGCCAGCAGCGCCCCAGACTTTCTTGGGATCATCCTGCTGCTTATCAGGAACAGCGGACGGCAGGACTTCGGACATTTTAATTGTAGAACGATCGGAAGGGACGCGGTTGAGGTTTATATCGAACCGAGAAACGAGCTGACATGAAAGATTGAAGTGATATTCAATTTATGACGACTCGAATTCTCACGTACGCATGGTGGACTGAGGACTATATAGCTCTTTTTTTTTCGATTGGCCTGACATTTTGGTGACGTCATATTAAGTCAATAGGTAGATTCTTTAGTGTCGACTGGTGTAATCTATCGTACGTGTTGCTGTGTCATTCTTACAAATTAAGTGTATTGCGTCATTAAATCCTCATAGCTGCCGTACCGGAAGTTGGGTAGGGGAGCGTGTCGCAAGGTTCAGATCTTATTGGGTTTTTTTATACATTCGATACATATAAGGGACTCAAACTTTTCACATCGTCCTCAAGAAGCACCCTGACCACTTCTAGTCCGGTCGAGTTGAGCGCGTCATGGTGTGATGATTGATATCCTACCCGGGTCGTCGAACGCGGCCACCTGGCGGTGTCCGGGTTCCCTGGTTTAATTGCCATTTATTCAATTCCATCAACTAATTGATTGAATTTAAACAACGTCACCCACTGTTTATCGTCAAAGCGCAGTGTCTGACAAATAATTCATGCTCAGGGACATTCGACCTAGAGGACGCAGGGAACTCGGCCATTTCCTGGCAAGAGCTAACACGATTTCAGTGAGAAAATGACAAACGCGCTCGGCTGGACTGACTTGCAGCTGCAGTGACCTCGAGGGTAAATCACCTTTGCATGTTGCTCAGGCTTGGATAGAAAAGAGCGTGCTTAGGCATCAAGAACACCAAGATCTGTCCAAAGACACCACAGGATGTCTGACAGTGCCTTCGATGCAGCACCGTGTATGTGCAGTTGGTCTCCCCCGCTCGCTCGTTTCCATTTGTTGATTCCACCCGCTGGAATACGTCGACCGGCCAGCAACGCGGAGTAAGATCAGGTGAAACTATAGGATGCCAGCTCTTTGCTCGTGGCTCTATAGTTGACTGGGCTATGACTCGGGACCCTACCGTCTCCTTTATCGGTTCGTACCTGATATGGCCAATGTTAATTTGTAGCCTCGAAATAATGGGGCCCCCGAATCGTCTTTCCTGCACGCAGACTTAGACTCACAGCCTGCTCGTCTGCGAAAGTAGGACTCGTCCCCCATGAGCCAGACTGAAACATGAGCACATCCCGGTGTCTGTCGAGCTGCCAGGCATCGAAAGACGTGAGATGCGAATCGAGGATAATGAGAATCACCCATTGGACGTCAGGAATTTGATCCACAAGAGGCTATTCTTTCGCGGTGTTCGAATGCCGAGACACGGTGGTATAAGCACATTGTGGCTTGGGCTTTGTATCGGGTAGACACATCAGCACATGACTGATGCACAGAGTCGATCGAGAGAAGGGCCGAGGTCGGCGGTCTGAAATTTACATTGACTCATCATCGATGCCACCAGTAGTTATGTGGAAATGATAGACAGCATGCGATCGCATCGGTATAGGGGAGCTCGAGAAGACATGACTTTTGCTAGCTTCGCGTTCGACTCGAGTGATGGAAATATAAGGGGCGTCCTAATTTAGGATCCAAGTCAGCAAGGCTCACCACTTGGACGAGTTGTTATGACTTGCCTTTCATAGAGTTCGCAGAGGGCACGCTTTGTACGCTTGAGACGAGACGATCAGTAAACTTCGTGGTCATATGAAGTTACCAAACAGATCACTTACAATCCTCTTCGGCAAAACAATCCACATGATTCATGCCGTGTTGCATGTTGGTTCGTCGCACTCTCCGGTCGTTGCCCCAGAAAAATCGGGCTGGGGCGCAACGCGCATTCTCTCGGGCGGCACAGTCCGTGACAACCTCACCAGGCACAAGCAGTCATATAGTCGTAATGGATGACTGGTTCGCAACGCGGACGGCCGGAGACTCCGCCATTCATGGAGTGAAGGCGGTGAGGGCGAAGACGCGATGGAGCTCGCGTCGTACTGCTTGCTGCCCCTGGTCTTATCTCCGATCCGTCGAGAAGGACTACCCACAAGGATGTTTCACGGATGGCGATGGGCTGCTCCTACATACAATAGCATGAAAATCAGTAATGGTGCTCATGTTTTGAAGCACAAGAGACCGCAAAAACGAAAAGTGATCTATCGTAGCGGAAGGCGCGATAGTCACTCACTGTTGTTGTTCAGAGGTATAAATTAACTTGTTATTTCAGAGTCGGGGTGGCATGCGAAGCTGGCGCTGAATCAATGTCGTAAATGAGTTTCAGAAATAAATTATGATAGCCCAGGTCCCCTGTCCGGTTCCAATGTCCAGAATGTGTTGGGACGAGTCACCAATAGGAGACCGGAAAAATGGGTTGTCGTTTTCCGACTCCATGATAAGAGCAACAAGAAGCCTGATGTTGATTCGTACGCAAACCAAGATATACACCGGAAAAATAATAAACCGGTGTCTCTTGCTCAAGGAAGGACGCAGTAACCATAATCAAAAGAAGGGCATAGGTTGTAAATAGAAAAGTCCATACGCGAAACTATCCCGGGCATCAAGGCAAGCGGATACTATCAATGTGCGCACTTACGAAGTGCTACTGCACGAACTGACACCCAGTTTATCTTTGACCCATTCAGCAGCCCTTTGAACAGCTACGTCAGGTTCATCCTTGAGACCTAAGAGATAACTCTGGATTTCAGCTGCTGTAAACCGGTCGGCTGGAACCAATTCGGCAAACTCAATGGACAGATCCCGGATCGTTTGGGTTTCCATGGCTCCAGCTGGTTGATTCTCCAATTTGCGAGTCGCAATGCATGAGGCACCGGCGGACTCCCGCTCAATGAATGGTTTGTAGATGAGGGAAAATATACATCCAACCAAATTGTATTGAACGTTTGGTGAATGAGCATCTTCAATGTGTAGATAATGTTTACTCTGAGATAGGCATTGGTCAGACCCTGCAACATAAAATTTCACGTCCTGTACAAGAAGATCTGGGGTTTTTTTCTTTTTCATGGTATGACCCTTGCCTAGTCGCCGGCTGTGATGGGTGCGCGTTTCTTGCGGATCTTTTTAGAACAGTGTGGGTATTTGCACGCTATCCACATTGAGGTGCAATGGTTGCAAACATGGCTTGGCATGACCTTATTAGCTAGGGTTTGTTTTATCACACCTTACCGCAGAAACGCAAGCTAGCTCAAGTCTATTTATTTGAATCGACAGACCAATTCCTGAGAACTGATGATCTTACCGTAACTGGTATTGCGTAGCTGGATCCCTTGCAGTTGATTTCCGCGGACACAACAACTTCTTCCACTTCTTGGGTCTGGCCGAGGTGGGAGCACCGTCAGTGACGTATTGAGTTTGGGTGGATATCGTGCTATTGGCGAAGCATTTTAGCTCGGCCGCAAATAGCGCATCGTTTGAGTTTTCGCAGAGGGAAAGCGTGGTTCCAACCTCGGGTCACAAGATATCAAGATTCTGTTAAGAGGTCTTGGGATGCGTTATTAATGCCCTAGCGTGAGGTTGGTTCTTGCATAGACTGGAATAGCTCATTGATTTGCAATCAACTCTCCTTCCCCCTAACTAGTTAAATACCTTTCCAAGATTTATAATCAGCAACATACTCGTCGTAATGCATTTCTTCATCCCACATTTCCATTACATCAAGAAGTAATCAATTATTACAGCATGATGACGTTCACACCATGACCAAACATTTTAGTCTATTTATTTGGAATGGTTGGCAGCAAGGACAGAGTGGGCATAGTATAAAATCATGGCTTACTACTATCTACCTTGCCCCGATGAAAGGGGAGGTCTGACGGCCACGGAACTTTTATTTTCCCAGATGCCATGTTATTTTGGGTCGCGAGACTGTGCGAATGGTAAGTCGCTTACGAAAGATTATGCAAGTTTTCCCTCTCAAACCATCATTTAGATCCGGGTGCATTTCCTGATACGTGCTCCCTCTGCTGGGAGGTTCTCGGTCCAAAATCCTTCTACCGTCAACTTCCCTGTGGCCATATTTTCCATTTACCTTGTATTAACTGCTGGCTTCAGAACGAGGATGCTAGCTGTCCACTTTGTCGTTGCAAATTCTACTATCTGAGACGACCACGTTTAGTATATTCTGCAGCCACATGCCGTGCTTTCTCCAAACATAATTTCCCGATGAAGTCTTATTTCAGGGCCATGAAATCATGGCTGGCCAGGAGAGTTTTTGACCGGTGACTATCCTTTTGCTATCAGATGTTAAAGCAATTTTTAATGTAATGCGTTTCAATGATAACGGCTGTTTGACTGAATCCTCACCGTAAAATATTCAGGTAAGTGGCGATTTTATGAATGAAACACCAAGCACAACATCTGTCATCTTTTTTCCCCTTTTCCACCAGTCCATCAAACCAAAGTCATACAGATAATTTCAAAACATCCGTAAGTGTTTTAAAGGGTTGTAATGATCGAGTAATGCCAGTGTCACGGTTCATCGACCGCGTTACAATAAACTAGACGTCTCCTAAAATACCGCTCTCCTGAATAGGGAAGATACTCTTCTCGTTTTTGTTCCATTCCTGAACTTTCTTGTGCAGTCTACAGCTGCCTTTGTAAGGTGCTAGCATCTGTTTCTGCCACTTTCAGAATTTCATCAATGTCGATGGACTTCAGATTGCTCGGTGCTAGAGGTAGCACGTTGGCCGTCGTATGACCGTCGGAAAAAGGAGTGATATGACTCAGATCTGACTCAGAGTCGACGTTATGGCTGGCTGATCCGTAGGCGTCATTATTGGATGCACCATCAATGGTGAGAAATGGCAAGAATTGATCTGCTTCCAGGATGTCGTCCGACGAGGGAGTAAAGCCAGAAAACCCGAAATAGGGGTCATCAAAGCTCGCATACGATAAAGGCTGGCTATAGGAATTTGGGTTGGATTTTGCAGAAGACATATTGGAGGTGGGCCAATCCATCCACGGAGCACTCCGAATCGCGGGGTGCACAGGTGCATCATTTTCTTGTGAGACCGCAAGATGGATGTCAGACTGATTGTAGAACTGCTTATTTAATTGACCTTGGAAGGGCAAATTTTCCGTCTGCGAAAGACTCGCAGCACTCAATATGGAAAATGGATCCATATTTGGTGAGGAATTTGGATTGTTGCTCTGGTCGAGAGCCTGTACTGAAGCCATATGTATAGAGCCATTCTCGGAGTTAACATGGGGAGTAGTCTGAGTGCTAGAGATACCCTCGATATGCGACGAAATCTCCTTGTTGACAGACAAATTTTGCCCCGACATCGGCAGATGGTTCAAGGAGGGACGAGTTACGTATGAAGGGGAGTGGCTGATGTGAGTCCGAGAAATGATGTTGGTTGTTTCACCAATGAGGGCCACATCATTATGCATATGTGTGGGCGTTTTCTGGTCGGCCTTTGATATCGCCAAATTTCTCTCGGACTTTCTTGGAGTGAGCCGAGGCTTATGCAGCTCCGTTATCGTCGGTTGTGTCATGGTGGCACAGCCCTGGCGTACGTTATTGTTATGATAGTCTTTCTTTGAGGCGCACTTGCAAGGTTGGCCATGAGAGCAGCAGCAACGTTGGTGGTGATCTACTGTTTCCTTGGGTTAGAATTCAATTCAGACCGGAGTTCCTCAATTTCTTGCTTACATTTAGAAACATCTTTCTCCATCGCATAGCATTCCGCCTCACTGTGCGCTTTTTCTCTATCACCACATTCACATTTGACATGAGTTGATCGAGAATTTCGAAGGCCTCGGCAATGCGCGCATTGTGAGACTGGGCGTCCTTTCTTTTTGATATGCAGCAGGGGATTATCTGCCTCGCGTCAGCCACAGACCATACACAGTGGACGGGAAGCCGAAGCCGACAATTACATACCAATGTGCTTGCAGCTGTTCGCACGATGACCTCGAACACAGGCCCTGCACGCCCACTTCTCTCCGTGAATCAGCATCGCCGCTGTCACTGGGACAGCAATTCGAATATGCAAAATCACAAAAAGAGAATAGAGGGATCAGAGGAGTTAACAATACAGGATTAACAATTAGAAGGTAAAAGCAGAGGATATATAAAGCAGTGGAAAAGACAAGAGGTCGATTTGGAGGTGGGTGGAGAACCAATTGATAGAGACTATGTGGTGAAGTTCCAATGACGTAATGAAGCACCATCCAATAGTGGCGATTAAACAATGGGACCGGGAGGCATGGGACGTGGGGCACGCACTATCTCCAGGCCCCACATGAGCAACGAGCTATTATTCACTAGTGAAATATGGCCTCGATCACACTTGTTGAACTCCTTGGGTAATGAAAATCCAAAAGATTAACCCATAACTAATTTAGGTAGCTAGGCTATGGAGGGACACCTGATTCATGGTTATCTGATCAAAACCTCAATTCGTTATCGGTGGGCATGACTTTTGCGAGACAACATGATTACACCGCCGTTCTCTAAAGCACAGCCGGCTTCTATGAGGACGAATAATGTAGAGGTTTAAACGCCCAAGGAACACGGACTGAAGCATCAGAAGTTTAACAAGCCCACAAAGCGCGTAAATTCGGTTCTAACTTTTCCGCAGGCTCGAGAGAAGCCAAGTACGCACAAATCCCGTAACTGTCGCCACTGTCATGCGGCGTAGTGATATGCGCTCGCGCTGTAACGCGACCTGGCCTTTGAACAAACTAAGCGAAATTTAAGAGACCTATTTATTGAGGCTACCAAAAGTAAGGGACCGAACACATATTGAGATTATTCATTGAATGAGTCGTTCCGTCTACGATAAAGCTAAAAACCTACAGTTCACACTGAAGAAAATAGTATTGGCCTCCCGAGGAATGGAGATACTAAAGATTTGAAAAAATCTAATGAGCATAAATAGAAGCCCAATCTCTTGCTCCAAAAAAAGCCAGGACTCATTGAGAAAGAATGTACTTTGGCTTTCTTCCCTTTATTTGGGAGTGCCGGAAAACACAGAGGCTGAAACGCTAGTGTTACAATTTCATCGACCAGTCTGTGCCACTGTGACTGAAACATCTCCTAAAATGCCGGACTCCGGAATAGGGGATATCTTCAATGTGTAGCCTTCACATTTGAGATTCACCACAGCAAATTGATTATCAGTCCGAGTCCATGGCCCATTCCAATACAGCGAGGCAATTCGACCGACGTTATTGTGGTATAAATCCAAATTGCCTTCGACTCCCACTCCGTAACTTGCGCTGCCACAGAAAAATATTGTTTTTTTCTCTTCATGTGGAATGATTATTTTGTCCACGTCTTCGGGAGACAAAAGCTTAGACATCTCGCTCTTTTCATACGGTTGACCACTTTTCCCGAATAAAAGTTAGTCAAGTTTCAGTCTTGAACGGTGATATCTATCTTTCAAATACCAGATTGCGAGTGTGTTCTTGATGACGATGTCGCCCTTCGGAAGATCGTTATGGACGCTTATGGAAAGACGCTGTGTGACATGATACTCCATCTTCGGAGATTCGGACAAACACTCCCAGTAAAACGTAGAGTAAACTTTTCAAAATAAAAATTCGCAACAAAGAGAGTGCTTTAGTTCGTAAGAATAGTGAAGCACTTCCAAAGCTAATAACTCTACCTAATCTACAGGCCAGAGTGCCTTAAGTGACCCACCCGTGGGGTTTTCTGGGCTGTCTCTGCTTACTGCGTTACGCGCAAGACATCAATGTTCCAAGGAACTTAAATGTCAGGTCCACTACTCTGAAGCCAAGTATCCGGCTATCCTGCTATCCAATGCGATCTTAAACTTTTGCCAATTCGAACGTCGGGCCCGCGTTGGCGTTCTATGCGCGATTAGTGCGTGAAATCATGTCGTATAACTGGCTAGCCCAATTAACAGGAATTGCCGCTAGAGACCCGACAAAGTCAATCCACCTGTATTACTGTAGGTTATCTGATTAGAATACACTCCCGCGCTTTTCATAAGAGGACAGGTATGCATTGGTGGCCACGTACTTTTGGCGCGTTCAATCAGTGCCTTTCGTCACTTAATATTTAGAACTTTCTGCCAACGCGTGGGCCATAAATTAGAGGTCAGGTTTGGATAACCCAGTGGCTAAATGCGCGATTAGTGCGTAAAATTATGTCATACTTTTCGCGATCATTTTCAGTATTGCTTGATGAAATTCGCATGAGCCCCACATTGGAGCTCTGTCCAATCACAGCGGGTCGGTTGCATTGGGCTTCCTCGTTCTTCTTTGCGCGATTAGTGCGTAAAATTGCATAAGAAGCGAACCAGCATCCATACCGCTCTTGGCACAGAAATGGTTTCAGCCACAGCGCTAAGTAGGGCTGTTCCCGATATCGGATTTTACCGATAATTCCGATACAAACCTGTACCGATATTATCGGCCGTTAATTATCGGTATAGGTTTTTAGTAGCCGATAAAAAAACCGATAACTTTTAGAAGATATTAGTAGTAGCCGATAATTTATCGGTTTTTTTATCGGCTACTAAAAACCTGCGCCGATAATATCGGTAGACCTGTAAGCTAGCCTAATTAGGCTTGTTTATAAGTTATAACTGGTTACTGCATGCATACATGTATATATATATATATCATCCATGCATGTATTGCCTCTTTTGGATAATTCAACGATCTTAAGTTCTTAATCCTACTCTGCTCCTACTACAATAACTAACTGTAGCTAATCAATCAATGAATTCATTCATTCAACGAACTAACCAAACTAAGCAATAAATTCACTAGTTAACTAAACAATGTCTTTCATCAACATCAACATCCTCATAGTATCTGCCCCTAAACTATGCCTTCGAACTCCCAAAAGATCTCTCCCTCCACTAAATAATCTCTCAACTGATACCTCTGAAGCTGGGATCGCAAGAAATTCCCTTGCAGCCTCTGCCATTTGAGAGTATTCACCCTTGTGGGTACGCCACCAATTGCAGAGCCAGTCTGGATCCTCTGCGCCTGTAACAGTAACCCGAGGTCTATCAAAGTACTGATCAATATCAGAAACAAATTGATATTCCTGAGGCTGTAGCTTTTTCAGCATCCATAACCGCATTGTTTTGCGATTGAGAGAATCTTCCTGAGTCAAGTCTGGAATCGACTGTGGATTCGAGTCTAGATTTGCCTGTGAAAGCGAGGACGGAATTGATTGTGGAAGTGGTGGATATCTCTTATGGAGCATCCGACGAGTCTCCCGTATAATCAATTGGGCAGCCTCTTGATCTACAGCGATTTTCGAAATCAGTTTACCCCTGAGACACACACATTTTGCTTGTCGGCTCGTACCCGAGACAACATTAGGCTATTTACAGTTAGCATGTAAATAAAGATGATCTGTAAGTGGATAATATCTTACCGCTTGTCCTAATAAAGCTCGAGCTTGTTCCGGGTACGGACCGACAAACAAAGTGTGAGTGTCTAAGGGGTAAACTGTTATCGAAAATTGCTGTACCATCTCATGAAGTATGAGATCACCTTTGAGCTGAGGATCAAGCATCAATGCCGTATAATAAGCTTCAGAGTTATCCATGAAGTCATAGTACTTTTGGTACTTCTTCATGCCTGACCTTATTGCATTGGCAATATCATCATCATATCCCACCAAGGCATCCTCCCGTAAAAGATCATGAAGCTTATAGTAAATTGGGACAGTGAGACTGATTTGTGGCCTTGATATAGATACCAAGTGCGTCAAGTCATTAAAGGTTTTGAGAGCTTTATGAATCTGACCAAGTCGTTCCCATTCTGCATTGGTAAAGGGAGGAATTTCACCCTGTACAGCACAGAATCGATTGATCTGAGCTCGAGCTTGTATCCCATCATTAAGCATTCGAAAGGTAGAATTCCACCGTGTTTCTACATCATACCCAATGAATTTATCATCGAGCTTCATCTCATCACAAATTGACTTCCAGTCTTGCCTCCGTTGAGGACTGCGAGAAATCCAAATAGCAAGAATCCGGAGTTTAGCTAATGCTGATTGAGATGAGATAGATGGAGAGCTTGATGATGAGGCCGATTGGGGATTCCTGGATTGTAGATTATCACAGATCGAATTGGCCTCTGAAACACTTCCAGCTTTCAAGGAACGAAGAATGTCTTTCACAATGAGGTTCGAGATATGAGCCAGACAGCGAATATAGCTATTAGGTCCAGAAAATCGAATTGGTTGTAAAGAATTCTGATTCTGTTCCAAAAGATACCATAACTCAGAAACCATCTCTTGAACATTTGAGGCATTATCCCCAGTAATTGTAGTCAACTTTGACGTGAGATCCAATTCCACTAAGGCCTTGTGAACCACAGTAGCAATATTCTCCCCTGTATGAGGTCCAAAGATTTCACAGAACTCTAGAGTTTCTTCACGATAGTGAAAATCCTCTGTAAGCCAGTGGCCAATGATACCAAGGATAGGATAGTGATTCTGACTTGTCCATATATCAAGAGATAATGCAATTGTTTTGCATGTAGTAGCTAAGTCCTCCTTCAACAATGATCGTTGGGTTTTGAATTGCTCTTGTAATCGTCAACTCACAGTTGATCGAGATTTGAATGGTAGAGTGAGTCCTGGAATATCTTCAAAGATTTGCTGAAAAGCCTGAGATTCAATGACTAGAAAAGCTTGCTTGTCTTGAATAACCCATCGAAGTATGTTCCGTTCAAGATGCTCTTGGATTGAGAGATTCCCTTGTTTTTTGAAGACTTGGCGGATATCTTTTTGCTTTGAAGTTGAACTTTGAGGTGGAAGAACTGAGTGTTCTCTCTCAAGATGACGCTGCATATTCGAGGTTGATGACTGCCTTTGTGATTCCGAGGTTTTCCAACTACATTGTAGACCAGTTTTCTCATCGATAACTGTACATTGGATATCCATGTCGACAGTCCTTGGTTTCCCTGTACGGAGGACTTTCCACTCACGGGATACCTCAGTTGTAGAGAAGTAATCCCAAATCCAATCGGTGGTCGGTGCTGGGCGAGGTTTCTTGATCTTCCGGGTAAAGGTTTGATAGGCAGATTCATGAGGTGAAATCTCTGAGAAGGCTAGAGATTCTTGATCGGTAGAGGGAGAATTGAATTGCCATGGCGACTGTGAAAAAATTTGAGATATATCAGATTCAGTGATTTGGTCTGATGGTAGAACTCCTTCAGGGGGAATCGGGGCCACCATTGAGCAATTCATAGTCAACTGGTGCCTGCCTTCGTGTAGTCATTTGCAGGTCCTCATTACCATTGTATGCCATGACGAAGATAGTAATCAGGATGCTTGGGAAGTTGGAAGTTGGTAGTAGGGGGGGCGGGGGGTGTGTGGTTGGAACTTGTAAGGCAGCAGGATTTTAAGAAAAACTTTCAAGGTAGTACTATTAATTATACAAGTTATCTGCATACTACCTATAATATCGACTGAAATCCGATATTATCGGCCGTTAGTTATCGGTAGACAATTTTGTGAGCCGATACGATAACCGATAATTTTTTGAAGCTATTTGTAGTAGCCGATACGATACCCGATATGGAGAAATTCTGCCGATATCGTAACGGGAACACCCCTACCCAGGGGTATTTTCGGTGCCGGGCGTGTACATCGCGACGACATTTCCAGAAGGTAAGCGACACGAATAATAGCCCGATTACGAATTAACAACTAGGGTTCCGAAAGGAATAAAGGAATGCGAATATACAACATATTCATATTCGCGCGAATAAACGCATTATTCATATTATGAGATTTCTCCGCATTAATACTCGATGCTCTCCTTCTCCGCTGCTTTTTGCTTTACCCAGTAAAGCCCCTCTTTGTAGCCGCGTAATGCATTCGTACACCCACGTCTTACTAACAGGTGCTATTATATTTTTGGTCACTTCGGTATCACTCTGAATCATCGCATTCGCACTCACTTCTACCATACGGGCAAATCGTGGAACCTGGAAGGGATCAAGAGTACCGGTCCAGCTAATCAATGCTGCTTCCTGTGATTCAACTAAGCACCTGGGGCACTGCGTACGACCTTGCCGACTATGGAGAGGCGCCCGCAAGCGGCCTGGATACGCTGTTCGATGGCTAAATACGAAGAACCCATGGCGGGGGATGGAAAATGGAGCTGATTAGCTTAGATGTTGCGATGGGCCCTGGCGGACTAACACCAGGAGCGGTGTGGGGATGCCACGGGACTATTGTATCTTAACAAAGAGATTGTGAGACCTACCATAGTAAAAACGATAATATAAGAACGGAATATCTCAACAACCACTACGCTCGAGAGATCTCGTGCAAGGAATGGCTGAACAGACGCCGGCTGTGTCATTTTACCTGAGCGAGTTGTGGTGCCATATCAGCCATTGTCCTCAGGTGTTGGCCAATGTTGTCCCAATCTAACAATCACTCGCTCCCTGATCGGCTAAAGGCACATCGAAAGAAGTTCTTTGAAAATATCCAGCTTGGCGTGAATCTCCCTTCAATTATATAAGACCGGGTGTTGTAGTAACGAAGATGAAATGTTCGCCGTGTGGCTAACGGGATGTCGCACCTGAGCCCATATGGGCCGTTACCTCCTCAGTTTTGTTGCCCTTGGCCACTTTGAATAGTAATATGCCATTAGGACCATTCGAAAATGTGAACAACATTTATCGCAGTAAAACCCCGCTAGTACCCACTCTGGTCATCTTGATATCATATGTCTTATCAGATAAATGGGATGGAAAAGGAAGGCCATTGTCCTGTAGGTCAAGGTTTGAGGTGCCCTTCAATTTCTATTATTCCAAAAGCCTGACCAGGATGAAAAGGGCGGCATACCTAGTTCATTCTACCTTATGTATTTCTAAATTGATCCTCGGTGGCAGATACAGTGACTGTTCATAAGTTTTAACACCCACGGCCAGAGGGGGTGTTAAACCTATGAACTGCTGTGCCCCTGATAACCATGGCCGTTGACTGCGCTTCTAGTAGGCTTCGAATCTTTCCAATCTTCAAACCTTGGTTCCGAGCTCTCTCCTGCTCCTGTGGCGGGATAAGCGAACTTGTTGGACACTTCTGAAATATTGCAAGGGGGAGTCAAAGGTTTCCAGGAATTCCGTTGGAAGCATTTTCGTCCAAGGCCATCATCCCTGCTCTTCCATTGTGACGTAGTGCTATTGAAGATTTAAAGAGAAAGAGAAAGTAGAATAAGAAGTCAGTTCGGAATACTTGTATAAGATTAAGCTAAATGACGCCGAATGTCCCAAAGCAAGCTGGATCAGAACTTTCATGAATCATGAGTGAAGTGCCAAGAATTTCATTTCATTGACAATGTAGCTGCCTAGAAATTGCAATGGGAAGTGGTAAGCCAGTGATGAGGCCCACGTGTGAGAATGGCAGAGCCGCTTGAAAAGATTCCACGACTAGTTGCAACATCCCACTTGCCCGGAAATTTCCCAAAATCCTCAGGGATTGTTATTGGCTCTGTGATACATTTGTATCGGCAGTGGGTGCCGGTTTATGGCAGAACTCGCACCTGGAAGTGGTGCTAAAATAAGACAAGGGCTGCTTCTGCCGCAGTCAGCTCACTCTGCCTGATGACAAGGTTCCTTTCCAGGGTGGTAACGTGCTGAAGATGAACGACCCTTCGCTGAAGAACTTCACCTTCACCTACAAGGTCCCCTTCGAGCCTGAGCAGTATGGAGGTTACTACTCCTGGGCTGTCAACAATAATACAGTCGCTGGCAGCAACCTCACCGGTCCTAACATGGAGCCCGGCTACAGCTACTTCCCTAAGGGTGCCATCACGACCCACCCTTACTTCCTTGTCAACGAGGGTACTCCTAAGGCCATCAACAAGACCAAGCTCTTCGGTGACCACACTAGTTCCCGTAACCACTCCCGTGACTTCTGCGGTGGCAGCGGAAAGGGTAAGCTCGGCGAGGGAAAAGTCAAGAAGATCCTTCATGTTATCTTCGAGAACGAGGTCTACAGCTGGACCATGGCCTCCTCTTACTGGCAGATGCTAGCCACTAAGGGTAAGTCTCTGACGAACTTCCATGCTATCACCCACCCTTCCTTGCCAAACTACGCTGCGATGGTTGCTGGTGACTTCTTCGGCCTAGCCAATGAGGACTTCTACAACGTCAACGCCACAACCATTTACGATCTGCTTGACGTCAAGGGGGTGTCCTATGCCACTTATAACGAGTGGTACAACCCTATTGAGACCCACCGTGGCCCTAAGGACTGCAACAACTACATTACCAACGGTCCCTATGACAACACCAACCCCAACTGGAGGTCGCCCACTTACCGCCGTCTGGATGTTCCTGCTCTGCTCTTCAGCACTTACACCACCAACTACGAGCGCTGCGCCAAGCTCTACGATGCTAACAACACCTTCACTGAACACGTTATGGCCCACACCTTGCCTGAGTACTCGTACTACATCCCCGATATGCTCCACAACGCCCACGACCCCGAGCCCAACAGTGTCTACATTGACCAGCCCACCACCGGTGCCATCTGGTTCAACTCGTGGCTCGACCTTCACCTGCCTGAGCTCGAGGCCCAGGGCACTCTCGTTGTTACCACCTTCGACGAGGCTACCTGGCAGACCGATGACGACTACAGCCCCAACAACGACAACCACATTGTGACCATGCTGTTCGGCGCTGGTGTTACTCCTAGCACCACTGACGAGAGCTACATCACCACCTACGGTCTCCTCCGTGGTGCTATCCAGAACTTCGGTCTGGGTTCTCTCGGCCGTAACGACACCAACGCCACCAACGGAAACATGTACGACATGATCAACTAAGTGGTTCTTGAGCGGTTACGGGCTATGATAGTGATTGACGCACCGCTTGTTTCAGGCATGCATCAAGTGATCCTTGTCATGGCAATGCTTAATTTGAGTACTTTTTCACGAAGTTAGCTATTCAACAATATGTCACAGTCTTCCTATATATAGACCGTTGAATTATCATTCTTTGGTCTTTTCTTCTTCCCTTACTGTAGACAGACAGTTCATCAGATAGTGAAGTCTTCCGTTAAGATGCCCATCTGCGAGGTCGCTTTTGGACCTCGTGCCATTGATGAGTTCACACATTGTTGGAGCGTGGTGTATATGGACCATTGAAAATGATGAAAAATCTGCATTTGTAATCAAAAATGGGTGTTTTTACCATGGACCCGTGTTTGTGCTCAAATAACGCATATAAAATACATTGTATGATACAGTATGCTCCATTGCTAACAGGTTTCCCCGCACATAATTGTGGATGCATGTAAGCCGAGTGCCAAGAGCCTGACAAGTGGAAGAGTTGACGTTGGGAGCGGCATTACCGGACATAATTATGGCACGCCAAGACTACCGCTTTACAAGACTAATCTTAAGAAAGCTTAGCAGCATAAAACTACCATTGAGACCCCGAAATAAAACGAGCTATTCTGAAAAGAGGTCGGCTGACACTCTCGTTAGCCAATACAACCCGGCAGATTACAAAAAGAAGGGAGAAGGATGTAACGACAGCGCTTGGGCCTGGAGTACGTTGTGCCAAGGTGCTAGAAAGTCAATTCTGACAGTGAATAGTAAGGGACTTGAAAAAGCTACTCCATGCTCATGAAGCTAGATAGATAGACCAGCAAGGTGAAAATGTGTCGTTTTATATAGATAGTCGCAGCGTTATCAGGCAGTGTGCATTTAAATTCAATGTGATAGTCAAAATGGCCATTGAGTTAGGGCGCACCAATACGCACACGGTGTATTGATGGACTTGACACGGCCCCTAGAAGAGATACAAAAATGCTAGGGCACCAGCAATATACATGTTGGGCTCAAGAGAATTTCCCCCATCTTGTGGGCGGGTAACACTACGACGCGTGCTCCATTGCGTCTTCCGCCTTCGACCCACTGAACGGCGGAGTGTATGAACATCTAGCCGTTCCAATCGTGAGGTCTTGACCCATCACGACTACATAATTTCTTGTCGCAAGCCTTGTCGCAGGTGTGCTCGCCACGCGCCTTTGGTGCCTCCGAAAGTGCCCGCTGCACCCAACGCGGCTTCTTTGAACAGCCAGAGGTTGCGACGAATAGGATACAACATGGCATGAACGGTGCTGCAATGCCGAAAAGAAAATTGTAAGTGATCTATTTGGCAAGTTCATATGACCACGAAGCTAACTGATCGTCCCATCTCAAGCGTACACTCTGCGGACTTTATAAACAGGTAAGCTATAACACATCCTCCAACTGGATCAGTCCTTGCAGACTCGGATCCCACAACAGGAGCCTCCCTCATATTCCCATCATTCGAATGCGAAGCCAGCAAATGCCTTGTCTGCTCGAGCTCCCCTATACCAATGCGATCGCATGCTGTCTATAGCTCCCGCATGACTAGCGGTGGCATCGATGAGTCGCTACCTCGACCCTTTCTCCCACTCGATTTGGTGCATCAGATCATGTGTTGATATGCCTACCTGATGCAAGACCCAAACTTCAAGGAGCGTATAACACTTTCCGTCTCTGGGAATTGAACACCCACAGAGGATAGCCTACTTGCGTCTTGGATCCCTGGCATCAAATGGATGACCATCGTTGTCCTCGAATGGTGTATAGCGTCTTTTAAAGCCTGGAAACCCGAGGAAACCGGGCGGAGCCGATATCTCGTCTTGCATAGCCGTACTTTGTAAACGGCGAGGTTGTTAGTCGATTCGGCTTGCAAGGAGAAGGTGAGTCGAAAGTCCCGTAATCTCTATCCAAATAAACTACAAATAATTGTCTCAGCTTCGAATCGAGTGGACAAGACCGAGGACAGCTGAACCAAAGAGAGGGCCCATGACCCAAGAACCACCGTCTGATATAGTTCCCTGATCCCTTTCCCCTCTCCGCGATGCTGAGCTTGTCGAAATATACGAGCGAGCGGGAACGAACCATTCGGACATACATGGAGCTGCATGATATCGGAGTGTTTGTCTCCTTGCTGGTCCGAAGGTCGGTAGACTTGAATCCTAAGCCTACTTTTTTCTGTCTAAGCCCAAGCACTATGTACATATCCATCTACTTTGAATATCGCTGCATCTGCAGCTGCAGTTCAGTTAAGCCATCGCGTATCCCCAGTCCATTGAGGCCATCTTCTAACATATCGCAATTGGCGACGCAAGCAGGTATTGCCAGCAAATCGCCAAAGTCTTTACGCCCCGGGGCTCACTGTTCATTGAGCATCGATGATGTTTCCTCAAACTAATTGCGTCCAGGACGATATCAGGCATCTTACTGTTCGAGCAACTCGCCGTGAAGGTGGGTTTGATGTCTCTAACAATACCATAAAAGCCATCGGGTTGTAGGACACGTCTAGCCTAGAGTGAATTTTCTACACCTAATCGTTGCTCAAGTCACGTCTGCATTTGGATGTTTAGGCGCATGCCTGCTCAGACCGCCCGTAGATTAGAGCACCCCCGTGCGGATATCACCCAGTCCTGAGCGACGATTGTAGAGAGATGTCTTTACCAGTTCTGGCTTGAGGTAGCTAGTTGGAGCCCGATCGCGGTTCAACCGTGTTATATCAGCAGCGGAGCATGATTTATCGCATGTCTCGGGGATCCAACGCACAGAAAGTAATGACCGTCTGTTAATCGCTGTAGGATATGAGTTATAAGTCTTAAGAATCGCGATACAAGAAAGACCCAGTGGCCTAGAAATAAGTTCATATCACAAGAAGCCTTTTAAGGTGCAGATTTAAGTCTGTTTGTGGGACATCTTGCGGCTCCTGCAATACGAGTTACGGGCTGGAATACAGTAATTTCAAAAAAAAAACCCCCCACCCATGAATTTAAAATTCGCCGTAGAGAAAACATTCCTGGGATCATCTCTGCCCCAGGATCCATGGTAAAGTTTTCAGGCACACTATTTCTCGCTCCAGGGTATCTCCAACATTGAGGAGCTGAGCCCGAGGATGCGAATCAGCTATCAGAAGGTGAATTTGCTTAATGGTTAACGTGGTGTTGGGCGGCATTATTGAGGTCTACGGTAAAAGTTTTCTCCTTATTTTGCGACTGCGGAGAAACGAGAAAAAGATAAATTCCATCAATTCAGCGATTACAAAAAATGTATCGGAACACACTAAAAGTGTATAGGCTAGTATGCATTCGGGGCGAATGAGATCAAGCGGAACCAATTCAGGATGAAAAGATTGATTGATTGAAGAATAGAATATGCGATCGAGGGCATGTTGAAATACCCTCAGGGTCTATGCGTTTAATACGCCGATACTCGGTGGTTACGCACCAGAGCTGAAAAATGACGCCAAATTACATACAAAACATAAAGCAGGTCGATATCCCCATGTGACCAATCACCAGTTAGCGGTAATTTACTGCTTCATGCTCTGACAAAATGATATAGCAACTTAACAAGACTTTTCGACGAAACACACCTGTGTGTAGTAAAGCAATGATTTCAACGGGTAAACATTTCTCACATAACTTCAACGATGGCTGGACCAGCCACGATATTGTCGTCACTCACGCCGCTCATACTAGTCGTCAAGACAATGTAACTCTGACCCGCGACACCTCCAGGAATAGTCACGACGAAATGACCGTTACCCACGGACTTGAGAGGCGCGTAGACAGGCCCGATGACCGTGATAAATGCAGCTGACAAGTTTGAACTACTTGTGGTGTTGAAGCCGGTACCAGCTACCAAAGTCGCTGTGGATCCGTTCATGACATTCCCACTGGGTACCATTGTCAGAGATGGGAAGGCCTTCACTGGAAGCTGCGGGTTGCTCGAAGGGCACGAAGTAATGAAAGGCGAGGCAACGGTGTAAACCTCATTGAAATCAAGAGGATTATCGAAAGGCTGCGCAAAAGGGATCTGGCCTAGTGCTGCGCGAAGGTAGGCATTGTGGCGGGCCTCTGAAGTGAGGATACTCCCTGCCGCGGTGAGGTATGTCTTATTGGCAATGGAAGCAGCCGCCCCAAGGTAGGCACTAACTCCAACCCCTAAGAAGAAAGTGTCAGCAGCTAGTAAAAAGTTCTATTGGAATAGAAATAGACGTAGAAATGGTACTTAAATACCCTCTAAGACATTGGCAAGTGAAATGAAACTCTTTGGATCGGTCGCTGGGAATGAGTAGCTGCACTGTGCAACAGCTGGGGAACCCGCAGCTACAAACAAACCATCATTAGTTGGTCAGATGCATCATATATTTTGTTTTCGCATACCACTTAGCGCGCTTGTTAGGAACTTCACATGATTCTGCTCGTCCGAAGCAACCTCTTGTAAGTTTGCGTAGAAGGGGTCCGGAAACCCAGCATTCAAAAAGGCCTCGTGAGAATAGTTTTGTAGGCCCTGCTGATAGAAAGTCGCTTCGAGATGCTCAAGCGTCAATGCATAGTTAAGAATTGTAGCTATTTATTACCACGGGTCAGCACAGAAAATCCTCTTTTGAAGTAACAAGAGGTTCATTTTAAATAGAAGACATACCGTCATTAATTGCACGTTTCTTAATAATTGGCGCGCCTTGGACAGTGCCAAAAGCAGCTCCAAGTAATGCACAACTGCTGACCTTCATTGTAAATGTAGGATCTCTTACTAGAAACGTACAGTTATAGAGAATCACAGGCACGACATGAAAGTTTTGACCAAATGATGAGAAAAATCTGGGTAATCTCGGTCGCAGAGACCAAATGTATATTCACTGCTAAATTCAGCCACCAAGGTCTTGCTATGGCATACCAAACTACTCTAGAACAACCTTTTTATGTCAGTTGATGCTCATTGAAAACTACACTTTCCGCGGAAACACGAAATTCATGGCCTTAACTTCCAGATTCTCTGTGCATTCATACTTTATTTTCACGTCATCACTCTTGATATTAAAAAGTGTATATCAGTTTATCTCATATGACAAGCCAATGTTATGAACAGGAGATCTGTTCGGAGTTACCAAGGATCGGCTCGGAGATGGAAATCGAGATTTGGATGAGTTCCCATCATTTATTACATGATGCTATTGGTCATATAAGAGGGGCCAAATCGGTTTCAGTCTAAGTAAAAAATGACAAGTAAAATACAACAAGTCTTATTAGGCCGGAATAGGAGAAGGCATTTCTATTGCGGATGAGAAAAAAACATGAAACCTGGTTTGGATTTGAGTAACCATTCCAGCTTCAAGAACTGAAATGTTAGGTCGTTCAGATAATGAAGTTTGCTGTTGAAGTGAACGAGAGAGCGAGAGCGAGAGAGCGTGCGAGTTGCGCCCTATGGTTTGGCATCCTTCCTTTCTGGCGATATTGCGTGAAGAAGTGTACCGTGGCTCTACCCTTCAGATAGAGATAGAAGATTACTATATCCGGCGGAGATCACTTCCCGGATCTCCGGGGCGTCTGGGTCTTGGTCCTGCTTGAAACCAGCCCTCACAGCCCCATAAGTTAGCTATGAGTAAAATCTTGCGAATATGAATAAACTGATCATTCGCATTTCTTTACTGCTTTCGGAACTCTATTTCAGAATTACAACAGCTGGGCTTCCCAGTCTCCATTCCCAAAGCTTGGGAAGCTTGGTTAGTGACTCCTTGCGTGACCGCCCTGAGATCGTACCTCAGAAAACCTGCAATAATGGCCTAATCGGACAATTTGTAGAAATCCCGCGTTATACCTCTGCGGATATGAGTAAACCTCTCTAGAACAATGTTTCTCGGTCATTTGATATTTTGGTTTCATATCATCACCTTTGTTTATAGGTATCATAGAGAATAAAGTTAGTTGGGCTTTCAATCCGACCATTCTTTTCAATTAAAGTTAGAATAGGATAAGTTATTCATACTTGCGGATGACACGAAACATGGAATTTGAGCTAACGGCCCAGCTCCTAGAATCCTTGGAATGGCAATGTTTGGTAGATCGGGATTTAGAGTTTGGAGATCAACCATTCATTAGATAGAGCGAGAGCGATAAGTGTGCTAAGATCTATTTGTTCATCTTTTTGACGAACAGTACCTTGGATCGCTATGGCAACCATGGACGACAGAGCAAAATTTAATGACCATTTAATTATAATATTCTCGTTGTCACTGGATCACGTTCGTATCAAACATTCAAAAACAGAAACTATCTGTAAGCTTTTGAGTTGGGTACATGCGAGTTTTGCCCAAGCAACTCTCTAACTGATGGTCGGTTTACCTTGCCTGGGCTATCTATGGTGCTGGTTTTTTGCTGGCATACGCTCTCATTATTCGACGTGCTATGTTGAAATTTTTAAGCCTCTTGTCTCTTTCAGCTCCGGTAGTTCATCGGTACCAGTCAAGCTCTGGGTAGATGGCATACAAAGTGAGATAATATAGTTTTCATTGCAAATCCAGACGAAGGGGGGCTTTATGTAATTTCGTTGCCAGTGGAAGTTTAAACGCAGACTTTGGATTTCATGAATGGATTTCTACCTATAATAATGCTTTTAAAGCATAAAGAAAGCAAAATCCAGGCCCTACAAAAGGGATATGTCACAGTACCAAAAACGAAAACAGCGTGCCAACCCAAGACAAAGCTAAGACGTCATTCAGACATGAGATTTAATTTCCTTCACCATGACACTGGTACGCATCCAAGTTTTTGACTTCAATTCCCACTCGGATTTTGAGAACGTCACAGACTCTGGAAAAGATACTGAATAAGTAATGTGTGCTAAGAGCAGAACGGCAGGCCTAGGAGAGGACTGGACAGTAGCGCTGAAAACAGGCCTGGGATCCGACGGTGCAGAAACATAGACAGATCCAGACGGCTTGCGGCCCTCGTTGAGGATCTTAGTTGACAGCAAGTGGTTGAGCCATGGCGGGCTGAGCTGCGCAAGTCGAGTCCATGGCCAGCGGGCATTTCTCGTTGGTGCAAATGCTCTGGTACTGGGGTCCCTGTGCCTTGATGACAGTAGTCTTAGGTGCGCAGCGGTAGTCAAACAGTTTTTCAAGGGCTGCGGCGACTGCATTAATATCCGACTTCCCGACACCAAAAGAAGCGGCGGACAGGCCGATCTGCTCAATGAAGTAGCCCACCTCGTAAGGGTCGAGAACCATGAACCTGCACAAAATGTCAGTACGCGCGGAGCTGGGCGATTTCCACAAGCGCGACTTACTTGTGAACCTTATACATGCTGGCGTCTCCAGCATAGGCGGGAAATCCGCTCATACCAACACTGGAGCAGCCAAGCAGGCTACCAAAGAACTCGTAAAGATGAGTGATTAACTTGCTGTTTAATCGTTCAGCTATTTGACCTAGACGGTCCGGGGACTTATAACAAAAAGACTTACTATTGGTTTGATGACATGTCATTGGCAGGCATGTTATTCATAAGAGGAGCAGCAGCACCTCCATCCAGGAAGTTCTTCGCGACGCCCATCTTGCCTCCGTCATTAGTAGAAGCGAGACTACCGTCGAAGTATGGCATCAGGTTGACCTTAATTCCGTTGTACATTCCCTTCGGATTAAGGATCCCAGGGACACTGACACCCACATTCGGCTGGGTGTAGTTACCAATGACGGCGGTATTGACAAGCAGGGTCATGAGTGTGTATTGATTTGTTGCATTGTTGGTTTCCAGTAATACCGTCGTGTAGTAGTTGCAGATAGACTCATTAGCTGGCCGCTGAGCAAAGGCCGCACCAACCGTTGCCAACACAAAGACGGCAGATCTGAAGAGCATGATGGTAGCGGTAAGCAAAGAAAATGGACGGTATCAACAGAGAATGATGATAAGGCCGGGTTGGGTGGGGGAGATGTCTTCAATAAATAACGCAGGAATGAAATCCCCTGGCTCTGGCTAGGCCTCGTATCCGTTATAAATGTCATAGTTGATCCAGAACATGTTTAGCGGGATATATTACACCCATACCATCTAAAATATACAACCAGATTGTAGCAGGGTGACCGTCTGAGTACTCGTCAATCGACGTGGCTAACCATGGATCGTGGAATTCCGTGCACCGTGCCAAGCGGACGACGACTCGAAGCCTTCATCGGCAAACATTCCACTCTTCAAAAGAACGCATTGAATTTCCCCTCCGTTTATTACTACTGATCCGCCCTGAACATACTAATTGCGATAAATTCATATTCAAATTTGTCGTTGGCGTTTTCGTTCTCTCCAAAGTTTGTTCTTGGATGTGAAAGCTATTTGTTTCAATTCCAAAAAAGACCCTAGAGAATGAAATCTTCCCTCAAGCACAAAAAGGGTTTCTTGTTTGCTCTCCCGCAAATCGAAATCGCTTATCCGTTTGCGGCCTGAAGTCACGTCATTCATCTGTCAATTCCTCTTCGGGCAGGTAGCGATGCAGCTCCTCTACCATGGTAATGGTATCATAAAGCAAATGGAATATCCTTTGGAATCACCATCATCTATAGTGATAGGGAAACACTCCCGGCAGTGATTTGTATTGTATATAATTATGGCACAATAAAACACTAGTTGGTTTTAACATAAGAATTCAATTATCCTTTGACTACATAATGGTCAGCGCTCAGCCTGCCTGGTAACTACCTAGCAATTTGAAACTACATAAAGATCCCACGTACCTCCGAGAATAAGATGAAAGGTCAAAATACCACTTAAATACCAAAAAAGGACATTATTCCAACAGAGAAACAACCACTCTTCCAGGCGATTCCATCGGCCGAAACAGCGAAATAAAGACAGGCAAATACGCTGGCATCGGAGCCATGGCTGGAACGCACTTATAGCCAATCACAGTTGGACAGTCCCGTTGGACTATCCAGTTAGGTTTGAAACCGGGGGTCTAAATGAAACCACGCCACCACAAAGGGGCCATAGGCGACGAAATTAAACTGCCTAACTAGGAGCACAACATGTCGACTTCAGTCCCATTCTACAAAATGATATCGTAGGAAGATGAGCAACATGTAATATACCGGAACAAAAGAACCTCAAATCTTGTTATCAAAAGCATCAGATTTATTGGATGGAAATCAACCCGATTCTTGGATGTATGTGAGGCCTCAATATTACATGAAAACATAGAAAGCGACTCAATACTGATATCCTAAATATGAGGTAGGCATTCAACAAACGAGCTGGACAGCTTAGGCCGAACAGGCAAGGCAGAGTGAATGACAATATGTGATTTTTCAATGACAAATGGTTGGGTTTGATGGCTTTTATCGGCTTCGTCCGGTGGGAGCTCCCTTTCAGTAACGGAAATCTCATATAATAACGGAAATAATTCTTCTGGGTATCCTGGACAGGAGATAAGATCCGTCTCAGCTTCACAGCCTGGGTTAGAGGCCTCCAAGCCTTTCCATTGGTTATCATCCTCATCATCACCATGTTGTAGGATAACAGCTGGCGTCAGACTCTGGGGCATATTGGAATGGCCAACTACAATGCGAAGATCGTAGTCTTGCTTGGAAAGAATTTTTTCGAGCTTGCTCGCGCATTTGCAGTATATTTCATCTTGGTAAGCGTTCATGTCACTGATAAAACATCAGAAAGGTTTCTCAGGCTCTTCCATTTGGTGTTGGTAGGTACCTTATGATTATGCAGTGAATGGCGAACTTGTCGAATAATGCGCCGATGTGTGCTTTCGTATGCTATAAGGAAGATGTTTTTAACATGGAAATGCCGAAGATAATGTAAAGCGTTTTATGAAAAAGCAGTGACTGCCATTTATCGTGCCTGACTATTCAGGCATTCAACGTTTAGTTGCCCCAGCACAACCATGTGCATTCCTCCTTGCCACTCCAATGTCGACTAGGGGGATATCTTTTCATTTTTCAAATTAGATAGCTCAGATTTGGACTAACAATTTCTCTCGTAGCAAAAGATTTGGTTGTCCCTATGATATCGAAGTTACGGATCGATCCACAATGAGCCTCGATCTTGAGCATTTCGCTTTCGCTCTCGCTCATCATAGATTTAGAATCGCCACTTTGTGGATGATCGGCGAGCTAATACACGGTACAGACCAAGACAGTGTGAACAGTAGACTACTGTCTCCGTCGAGCCAAAGTACACTATTGAATCCAAAAATAAATGCAGTACACTTTGGCTCGGCGAAACATGAGGTTACATATACACCACAAACTCCAAGTTGATTAGAAATCGATTTGGACCTTTGTATAGACAGCTTGGGATTAATTCCGATGGTGCGGCTTGGTTCCCGATCTGCATCAGCCTCACATCACAACAAATAGCAATATGCATATATATACCTTCATTTAAGAGTTTATTATTTGCTACAGGTGTGACGCTACCATCCAGTTACCCTATATGAACGCTCGAGAATATACTAAGTAGGAATCCGCTGGAAAAACATAATATTATCGGAAAACAATTCATCTGGCCGCCGCTAAATGATTGACGTAATGCGGAGGCCTTTCGGACTCCGGAGCGGACGCTAAGTCACGGGTTGGTCTTGGCATCTACCACTCCATCTACATTTTCTATGACAGAGTCGACTGACGCTTCCGGAGCCCGCGAACACGAAAGAAGTCGCTCCGATTAATTATAGATTAACCAAATCCAGTGGAAGCAACACTCCTAGCCCGATTGGCTTTACCCATCTCATTCATAAGAATCAAGATCCATATTTAGTTCGTATCGGAATTGAAGTCAAAATAGCAAGCACATCGTTCTTGCTTTATATACTGCAGTCCAAATCTGTTAATCGAGCTCTACGGATTTAGATGTTTGTCTAGTTACTGGTACCCGTTCTACCAAACTTTAAACTTCTTTGGACTTGGGGAAGCTAATGCCATGGTTCATACCCGGACCAGTTTATCCGATCGGAATAGCTCCTCCTCTCTGCAATCATGATTTTAGGATTCTTGACCCAAAGATCTGGACCCGAAGGAAGTCCGCCTTTTTGAATATGACAGGATAGCTTCTAGAGCCTCTTTTCAATCTGGGCTCAGTCAATTACGTCTCTTAAGCTCAATTGCTGGTTTTAAAAGACGTAATGGCAATCGGGAAGCCATTATATAAATTCCGTGAGTGTCTCGTTGAGAAACAAGTCAATCAGCAACGATTACATCTACACCAAATATCAAATCTCAAAGCTTCCTCAAGGAACAACCAACAACTCGCTTCAACAATGAAGTCCCCAATCTACATCCTGACAGCTATGCTTCCATTTGCTGTGCAAGTCGCAGTGGCAGTCCCAACTGCGGAGGCAGCCGATGACTCCCTTGAGGAGAGAGGTAATGGCAATGGTGGTGGCCACCGCTGGGGAAATAATGGTGACCACGACCGTGACCCTTGCGTCGTGCAGAAGACGTATTGGTACCACAAGTATCCCTGTGTGTCGAGTGGAACAGTTGGAGAGTCTAAAGTCGGCGACAAGTTCCAGCCTGTTTGCAACTACCAGTAAGTATCTGGAAAAATTGATCGAAGCACCTGAACTGATAAATTGCCAAGGGATTGGTACATGAACTCCAAGGGATGGTGGGTTCAAGAGGATAACAAGCCTTACCATTGCCGTGAGTCATTTCTATCTTCTGAATACTTGGATTTTGTGAGGAAGTGAAACTAATTTGTATTTCAGAGGTAAATGTTCCTGAGTGCCCCTAGGCAGAGCATACTTGAAGGCAGATTGTCAATTTTAGGCCCGGCTGAAATGCCTAGCAACCCTTTTTGATCTCTCTTGTCTCATGTGTTTTGATTTTCTTTGACTTCATGTTTGGTTTCAATAATCTGTCAATCATTGTGTGAAACCTACCACGACTTACATATGCAACACACCACTCCTTTACCAATATAATACTGAAAAATTGCTGCGTTTACTCGACTTCTGCTTATCTAGAGAAAAGTTGCAGCGGATTCAGTACCCGTCAAGATCTCGTGACGTGGGTTCCCCCGTTGATCTGATGTATAGTTCCTTTCTCTCCTGGATTTTTCTGATTCTACAGAACCTCGAACATTGTATCCTTCTCTATGCGAAACTTCCAGGAATATAGATGCGCAAGTAATCGATTGTCTTGCAATATCCATAGAGCTAGTTGAACTTAGATACATCAATATGTTCATACATAAGGACATTATCAATTTCTCGAAGTCGAGCTGCCCTTTGAACTGGTAGTTTAGCTTAGCCGAAGTACGTGGAATGTTACTAAACCGGGTTTAGGATCGAAACCAAGTAGTTCTGGCTTAGTTCAGAGTTTTCGTCGGTTTGTGCCTGGGATATAGACGATCCATACCTCAGATGCCATTTGATCACATCATTTCCACCTTGTTCTTCAAGCTGAATGTGTTCACCTCTCTATCGCAACTGAGATTTGACTGACGACGCGCAAGTGAGCTTAGTAATGACCACCTCAGGCCTTAGGCCATCCCCGTTTCGAGTGCTCTCGCAGGCCACCAGACAAGGCGATTATAGATCGACCCAAGAGCTACTAGGCTCTTAGCCCGTATTCGCTGAAAGCTTCTCGAGTTCGTACTTCGCAAGAGAAATCTCGTTTATTACGTCTATTTGTTCAGAGACCCCAGAGTTTCAATGACCCCAGAGTTTCAATGACACCAGAGTTTCAATGACCCCAGAGTTTCAATGACCCCAGAGTTTCAATGACCCCAGAGTTTCAATGCCATAATAGTCATCACTCTGAACTCTAGCCGGTGTCCTCCTGCGATTATTTCGCGTGACACTAGTACTTTGCCACGTCCAAGGTGTTCATAGCGGTCCAGAAATATCTTTCCAAATCCCCATATCTATCAGAAAGGTCTTGCAATATCGGATCAACCCTCAAACCCTGCCTCGGAGAAACCGCTTCCAACAATGGCTCACCAAGGCTAGCGAAGTGTCCCAAAGCATCCTTTCCAATCTTTATACCAACAATATCGTCGAGTCTTGATGAAGTCCGATTGCTTCCATGCCGAATGCAATTAGAGATATTTCTACCGTATTTAAGGACGCCAATTGCGCATAGCCAATCAAAGAACATCATCAGGCAGTAAACCGTAATATAGCGTTGTAGTAAGGCAGATTCAGATTGACCAAGAGTTTCGAGATGGGCTTTGTGTTTATAAAGATCGCGGACCGCGCGAGCGACGCAGCTCAAGCATCGCTCCTTGGTGTCTTCACCGAGTTTGCTTGGTACACTAATTGAGTGACCAGGCAATCCTTCGAAGTTGACTGTCTTTACCAACCAGCATATGAAATTGACAAAAGTGCTGAGCGCATGGAACAGTCAAAAGCACTGGAGTCAATTGACATGAATTGAACCCATTGACTGAGATATTTTGGGATCTGACACGTTCAGATTGAGTGTGATTAAATTGACGAAAATCTGGCAGACCTCGAGGCAGACCAAATGAAATGGAGTGAGTAGCGAAACATCTTCGCGTCACGAAATCAGCAACGCGCCATGTAGCGCGAGAACCCCATCTTCAAGAGAGACAGTATCAATCATCTCGCTAGAGCCTAAACATTTCGCGATTTACTAAATTTCAGTCGTTGATTTGAACAGTTTGTCTCGGTAGGTAGGCTTTGGCGCAGGGTCCATTTGGTGCGTAATGACGAAACAAACCTGTCTTACTTCACTAAGAATTAGTTCAATATGGAAAAGGAAACTAAAGAAATAGTTTGCCGTTGGTAGGGCTGTTACGAATATTCGTAATTGCGAATATTATTCGCGATTTTTAAACTTGCGAATTGTTGAGTATGATGGTGGCTGAACCTTATGGCAAGGATTAGGAACAGAGATGTATATGGAGCATCCCGCCCCTGTAAAAGATTACTCCTTGAGTCAATGAGAATCAATCAGACAATCACATATCTCAACAGATTCCTGCGAATATTCGTATTCGCAACAGCCCTATCCGTTGGACTGTACGGTGATTCGTAATATTTCCTAGCGACAAGTTTTGGAATAGCCAGGGATAGCGAGATACTACTCGGCGAGCTCCAGCGTCCGATCTCAATACTGCCTCGCCTATTTTTGGCTACAAATACACAATGATTGGTCAGCAGACACTAAGCCAAAACGTGGCACGTGCCGCTATCGGCGCAAAACCGTCTATCGCAACCATCCATGGTTTGAGCGCTACCATCGGCTGGCTCCACTGTCGACCCATTGTCTACGAATGGCAAGAACCCTCCATGGCCCCTGTTGGCCGAGGAGCCGAAGATCCATGGGAAAATCCCCTTTTCTCCTTACCAACCTTTTTTTCGCAGTCGTCCTACATCATCGGCGTCGTTATCGTTAGCATTGGAGAAGCAATCTAAGCTCGAGTCTCACCATCTCTGCCAACCTTTGCCACCAACTCGTCGACCTCATCCTCGACAAAGCGAACCATGCCCTTCCCGGGTTCTCCGCATCGAGTGATTATCCTCTTGCTACCCAGCAAGCGCCAGACTCAACCAAGCACTATGCATCGCTTGTGTGAAGAATGAAGGGCTTGGGGCTTGGGGCCGTTCTGCTTGTTGTGGTGAACCGCATAGTCGATTTTATATGACCACTACGCATATAGATAGCTCATAACATAATCTTCACCACTACCACCACGGTCTCATGAAATAGTGAAAGATAGATATGCCTCGATTAGTTTTTTAATCAGACTTTCGTTCCCTCAAAGGGCAGCCTCGGAGAATATTCCGTGGCCGCTGAATATGGTTAGCGCAGGGTCCCCAGCTCGGTGGGTCTTGATCGTCCGGACAGCAATCGAATGTGACTGATCACAACCATGGTCTCCACCGATCATTTAATAGGTAACGCAATCCCATCTCTGTCGAGTTTTTGGCCCTGCGAGAGTCATGAAGAAAAAATTCAGTTCTTTTGCGTGCATCGTCTGTCCGAGGACTTTCTGGTCACTTCACAGGTAATCGAGTCCCAAATGGCAGGCTACGATGCTAGCTTTAGATATGGTCCATCTCAATTCCACCCACAGTTATCGAAACTCAATTGAGCGGGCTCTCCGCGGGTCATAAGATTTGGAATACTCTACCACGTGTACGACGGCCAATCAATGCATCTCAATTGATCCACCGCTGGGACTTGAGGATCCAAGTGGGCCAGGAAGTGGCTAAAATGATCGTCAAGTGCTTAAACCCCCGAAAACCTTGATAGCACGTCTTATCGTATCATTATACGGCTATCAGGCTATCAGCAACGAGGCCAGAGAATTAATCTCGTCATACCGAATTTATAGCGACGTCTTGTCTAATGTTCCGCAGCCTTACGGTTATATACAGCTTCAAGTCAGAGTCTGCTCCGGTGAGATAGGATTGGTCTGAAATTACAATTGCATGATGGCACTTCAACCGTCAAGGGCCGACACCAGGCTTCAGAATCTAAACTTCCACCTCATCAAATCTTGATCCAGATCACTGCTGTGACCGAAGCGTTCGCTTAGTTGCATTACCCTCTGTAGTATCGGTCTCCCCCTCTTTGGCCACCATCTCCATAGTTGTCTCCACAGCCGCCAAACGACTGCGGATGTCCTCCAGATCACTGCGAATAGTTGCAACCCAGCCGTTCTGGTTATCCAGTGATTTTTGCATGGACCTGGAAAAAGTCAGCCTTTGTTCTTTTCCGTTCGGTCGCACGACTAACTTCGTTCGGAGATCTAGACTTAGTGTTGTAAGCAAACGTATCGCGAAAGATCATTTCAGATAATTGTAGCACTCACTCAGCCACACATTGGAAGGCGATCATACTGCAGTCTCTCGAAATATCATCCTGTCGGGGTAATTCCAGTTCGTTCTCGGATCTCGGGCTCCTACACCTGTGTGGTAAAGGAGATTCCTGGTCATAATCTGCCGAGATACAGATGCGTTCGTTGCCAAAGTTGTCATTTTCTTGAACAGAGGCCTCGTCCTCTGTAGTATCACCCGCCGCAGACCTTGACGGACTCCGGATAACCTCAGACTCGGAGGGTGGCAGGGATAGAGCGCGCTGTAATCGGCTCCGAAAGCTTTGTCTGTGATCAGTGTACGGAAGTTTTCGAATCCCAGCCATGATTGCACCTGAGTCACGCTGGAATTACAAACGTCTCCAAATATGGCCAAATGTCAAAGGAGTCGTTCAGGCTTTTTAAAGAGAGCTGGATCATCAGATCGGAGGTTGCAATCGGGTTTTGCAAGGCGCATTGTCTGCCATCTGCACATCCCACACTTGTCGCTTATTTTGGAATACATTGTGGCCAATGAGTCATAAAAGCCATTTTATTTTAGGTGGTGAAACTTTGCGTATTTGCCGCCAAAGTCTGTTTAATGTTACATTATTCAATACCCAGTGGGGCTCGGTCTGAGAATTCGCTGCTGTTTTCATTTCAACGCACAGTAGCTACCTCCAAGAGCAGTATTTAGAAGCACAAAATTGAAGTTTGCTCGCTACTGTAGATAGGGATATGTTCGAACGCTGGGGCTCCGAGAGAGTCTGAAGTACGGCGTCGATAGGTAACAGCTCAGACTCGCTGAATTGACACGCCAAAAGGGTCCATGGGTCATCTTGTTGCGCTTTTGAAAGTTTCTGATGAACCAACTAACGGTACTATCTTAGCTTTTCACTGGGGCCTGAAGGGGGTTTAAGCTCACCTTTCCCATCCGCATGAAATTCAAACCGTGCCATTGCCTCAAAAGGTCTCTCTGACTACTGCTAGTTCATGCGAGCACTATGTCCCCTCGCAGCGAAATTGTCTGGTCGGAATGGGAGGAGGAAAACATTCTTTCCTGGCTCGATGCACACCGGGCGTTGCCGTGGAAAGCCCGCTCCGACGCATATTATGAACAACATCAGGTGCGCCGAAGCGTTGAGTCTCTACGAGGGAAAAAATACCATATTCTGCGCAAGCAACGTGGTACTGGTGCCAAACTGCCTAAGCAATCAGAGAATAGAAGCCAGGCAGGAGCCGCTCGTCGATCGGTGGGCGGAAGAGCTTCATTGGAAGCGCTTCCAAAGAAAGGGCCTGACCAAAGTAACACTGCAAAATGGTTTCACACAATCCTAACCGCCGACCCTAGCCATACCGATACCATTGAGTCAACCGAGAAGAAGGGCTCGAGACCAGGTATGAATCGACCTTTATCCACTATTGGTTACAAACTGATCGTTCATATCAGGCGGCGCGAGGCCACTAATTAGCCATTCGCGACGTAAAGAAATACGATCGTTATCGCAGATTTGGGACTATGTGCATCTTGTCTGTGTGGCGAGAAAGCCGAGATACCGCTGAGCAGAACGTTCATGCTACCAGTGGTTTGATGGCATGCGCGCTACATCGTGATCTCCGAGCAACGATCCTCACTATCTCAATTCAATGAACGAAGGTTGTTAGGTGTTGCTAGGGACGGAGGATTTATTTTTATGAATTCAGATAGTTCGCAATATATCCAAGCATCCTTGGAATCAAAACAATAGCGAGGGGGTCACAAGGTCATGGATTGACTAAAGTTATCCCACAGACCGTGGAAGTTGGCTGGGATCGTCGATCAATCGCAGAGTCCTGAAATAAAATTTCGATGAACCATGGGAAAGGTCGCTCGGTGCGGTTGTCATTAATCATCCTCGAGGAAAGCTTATCTACAAGCCTCTGCTCCACTCGCTTTTAGGTTGCTTGTAATTAAGCCCTGAAGCTCTAAAAGAGATCTAGGGCAGGATCACCAACTTCTCGGTCGGATCATGTATATGATATTGCAAGACACCGATACTTTATTAGAAAGATCATCCATATTCAGCGTCATGATTAAGATGCTTGAAATAAGGTTTGGGGGCTGCAGGACGGCCGGCCCACCACGTCGACTCTCGTTCGGAAGCCAATCGATGTCTCTGTTCTAGTGCGAAAACCGGAGAAATTTTACGTAGGCTCATGTGGCTTGTCCGTAGTTAGCATATTTTCTACAAGCCTTCTGCTAGAGATATCAAATTAGCGATCGAATTTGGCAGATGGAGAAGATGGGTCAGGCTCAAAGAGAATATAGTTTGTACGAGGAAGGTTTATACAAGACAAAAGACATAGCTTCTGTAACGTTCTATAGACTAGATAAAGATAGCAGGAGCTTCTCCCTGTACGAAGGACCCGTCTCTCTTGCGAGGGCAACTAAACCGCGGATCGGACCTCGTTGAGAAAAGTTTGCGATATTCTAAATACCTCATCTGCACCAACCTACTTCCCAAGCAACAAAGACCTGTTCCATCTGTATTCTGACGGCCCGTCAAGACTAGGTTGTGGATCGTGTCTGGACCCTTGCAGATCCTTCCGGTTTCTTCTGTGGGCCACAAATAGAACCTCCGTGATCTACTATCCCGTGGGTCGTCCCTGGGATCTGCATCGCTGAATCGTACCTGCGTCTGTCTAAAGTCACGCGAGGTGTTTGATTGGTCCGTTGGTTGCTATTTGTATCTAGGGTCTCATCGGTGTGATAGCAGCGTTGCAATCTGGCGAGGGGGTGGTGATCACGAGAACCTAGCTCGTGAGCCATGGTAGCTGAAATAACTCACTTCATTGTCCTGGAAACTGGACTCGGGTTTATATTCTGAGATTTCCAACAAAGTCTACACTTTCGATTCTCCGTCAAGGAAAACAACTTGTACCCTGGATTTGGGAGTATGTTCATAGTGTCTGCACCGACAGGTAGCAGAAGTTTTAGGGGAGGCAACATCAGTTGGTTGCGAGCAACAAAGAAAAGTACCGTTCAAGTAGTGCGAAACTAGAAATAGGCAGAGGATCGTTGTGGGATCAATGGGAGATCTTATGGCCAACAGCCGGTACAATCGAATGTCACTGTCTGCCACAGTCTCCAACCCATTATTGCGGCATCGGTTGAAGCACTTCAACGCTCATGAAAGAGACGGTGATCGTGGGTAGAACGGGCAGATGCAGAATGCCACCACGTTGAGGGATTTAATCGCAATTTCAATGATGTGATAATCATTTTCTTGGGGTATCACTGTCTTTTCAATAGTTGATGAAGTGGTTAGCCACACTCAACGGGGGTTGTGAAAGCAATGACTCTAGGTAGAAACTTGACTCTGTAGGCTACAAGGTCTCCTAATACCATTCTCAACGTTTTTCATGTCCTCAACGCCAATAATGAGATAGTGATTCTCGCTACCATCTGCCTAAGTGGTTCCTTGGTGGAAACGTAGCCGAAAAATTATAAAAGGAGCCGGATTCCCAGCCCAAAAAAATCAGGACTTCGGTCCTCACACTCCGATGTTTCATGGTGTCCCTCTTGCCTACGGGCTTGAGAGTCTCCATGGCCACGGCTGTCGCTGCCCCGAGCCC